ATCAAAATTTAAAATACTAATAAAATAAATAAATTAAAAAACATTAGAGAAATAACTTTATATATCATTATATTTATAAATATTATAATTTCATTTACTAAAAGTTTTTTAAATTACCACATGTTGAATAAATTATATTTTTATCAATAAATACTAACATGCGGGCTGATCCGCCAACCTGCTGACAAAAACCGATTAAAACCTATGATCCACTACGAATCAATCTATGTGGCCTGCTTATTTGCGGGTTTAATAAATTTTCCCAAATCTTCCCTATAGTGAGATGATTTGGGCTCGACCCGTGGTTTTTGACCTATTTTGACTGCTCTAATTCTCATGAATCGTCTAATTTTAGAATTCTAAAACAAAAAATTTCATTTTGTAAATTAAAATTAATATGATGGGTTTAATTATAAACAATTTAACATTTTCTCTACAATCTGTTATTATGAATATTTATAAGTACATTACACGATTGAACTAAAAACACGCACAATATTAAAATCAACGTATGTAAACCAATATTTCCCCGCGGTGGACCGCGGGTCCGATCCTAGTTAATAATTAGAAAAGGAAATCAAAACCCGCTTAATAAGCCAGAAGGGCTAAGCAACAAACTGTCGGAGAGCTCTGACAGAATGCATGAGACTAACAAAAAGGGGTAAACAGTCATTTCAAAACTCCAGTTGTTACACGTTGATTGATTTGTTGATTCTTGTCTTCGTCGCCACTGTTTTGCTCTCTCCGCTCGTGTCATTAAAACCTTGTATTATAAAATCCCTTCCAAAAAACTCAACCAAACGTCACAAATCCAAAATCCAAAATCGAATCGTTTTTAGCCTCCGAGAGAGAGAGAGAGATCTACAGATAGAGAATGAGAGAACCGTCGATGGAGACAGAGAATGGTGCTTTAACGGCGGCGACAACTACAACGACGGCGGTGACTTCTCCTCCTCCAATGGCTTCTTCACCGCGTCAAGCTTTAGTTGAGAGATTAAAAGATTATGGTCAAGAAGATATTTTCTCTCTTTGGGATGAACTTTCACCAGACGAGAAAGATTTTCTCGTTAGAGAAGTTGAGGTTTGTGTTTTCGATTTCGCATTTTTTTTTCCAAATTCTTCGTTAAGATTTGGATCTCAGATTCAATCTAAGTGTAATTTTTATTTTTTTGTTTACAGAATTTGGATCTTCCAAGAATAGATCGGATCATTAGATGTTCACTTCACTCTCAAGGTTTTTAATATTCTTACTCTAATCAAATTAGTTAACATGCATTGTACTCTAATCTCTGTTTTTTCCCGGTTAATTAGGTTTACCGGTGGCGGCGATCGAACCGGTACCGGAGAATTGGGTTTCGACAGTAGATGGAAGAACAATGGAAGATAGAGAGAAATGGTGGAAAATGGGATTAAAAACTATCTATGAAGGCAAATTAGGTGTTGTGCTTTTATCTGGTGGACAGGTAAATTATTAATTAAATAATGCAATTTGTCTTAATTAAGTAGCTACTTAGAGTGCTAAATGATTCTCTTGTTGATGGTTGAGATTGGGGGTTCTGGAATAATGCTGCTACTACCTAACTAAAAAAAGTTGAATTAATTAGATTATAAGACTTTAGTGTAGTGTTGTGTATTTTATGTAATTGCTATATAGTTTTGAAATGGAAATAAAGTGGTGTTTAGATAAGTAGGGTTATTAAAAGGGTTTAATTATATTGGCAAACAATAATCATGATTAATTTCAGACAAATCACTGTCGGTGGTGCATTTTATTGTTTTTGAGTAATGGTGATTTCTAGGAGGAACCTTCTGCTTAATTATAAGGATGATGATGATCACGTGATCTGAAAGATGCTTTATAGGATTCCGTAACTTTTTATTATTATATTAGGAGGATGCTCTGTTTCGTGTGTTGTAAGGAAGGTTGGAAAAAATCTGGTTTTTAAGATATGTGTTGCTTGATGTATTACTTAGTTTCGTAACTTGAGAATATCTTTTATATATTCCAGTTATGTTTTTGCAACATTCCTCAAGTGTTCTGATAATGAACTTGGTTTGGTAATGAAACTAATGCAGGGAACAAGGCTTGGAAGCTCAGATCCAAAAGGATGTTTTAGTGAGTACTTATGTGGTTTCCTCTGTTTTGTTTAATCTTCTCTATAGTCACATTCAGAACAACTGTTTAGAAATGGACCTTAGAATGGACTTGTGAGTTGTGTCATAGAGTCAGCTCGCGTTTCGTTTTTTCGATATACAAATTTAACGAATCTTATGCATCATTTGCTTAGAGTAAGAAGATTACTTTGATTCTTTGTTACTCTCTAGCTAGGCTTAGGTTCTTGCATTGCTTGAACCTATGATGGTTACTTAACAAAGTAGTTATTGACTTATTTCCATCTTAGATATCGGACTACCATCAGGGAAATCGCTCTTTCAGATTCAAGCAGAGAGAATCTTGTGTGTTCAAAGACTTGCTGCTCAAGTAGTGAGTGAAGGTGAGTGAGACTCATGGCTTCTTCTACACTCCAACGGATATGTGTAACTTTACATCATATATGACACTCTTTTCCGCATAATATCTTTCGTTCAGGTCCAATTCGTCCAGTTACAATACACTGGTATATTATGACTAGTCCATTTACTGATGAAGCGACACGAAAATATTTCTCGAGTCACAAGTACTTTGGTCTTGAACCAGATCAAGTAAGATGCTTCTTATTTGTATGAACATTCCTTGATGCTTTTTCCTTCGTGTCTTAGACCAATCTTGATCACTTGTTACTACAGATCAGTTTTTTCCAACAAGGTACATTGCCTTGCGTTACAAAGGATGGAAAGTTTATCATGGAGACACCTTTCAGTGTATGTACAATTATAAAATGACAAGGTCTCACTTTTATCTTCAGTACTCACTTAATGAGTTTAATTACCTATGATTAACAGCTTGCTAAAGCTCCAGATGGTAACGGCGGGGTCTATGCGGGTATGTTTACTAAATTTTGATTCTGTTCTTTACTATCATACATATGTTCTTCTCAAACCGTTGATGATTCTGATCTGACATTTTTACAGCGCTAAAGTGTTCAAGGCTATTAGAGGATATGGCTTCTAGGGGAATTAAATACGTCGATTGCTATGGCGTTGACAATGTCCTGGTTAGCTTTCTAGTACAATATTGAGTGTTTAACATGTGCTTGTTTTTTCTCAACGTTGTCTTGGTTATAATATGGAATCTTGAAAAACAGGTTCGAGTAGCTGATCCTACTTTTCTTGGATACTTTATCGATAAAGGCGCTGCTTCGGCTGCAAAAGTTGTGCGGAAGGTATCTAAGATTATTCATACTCACTGGCTCAGAAAGATTTTTAAGATTAAAAAGTTCATCTTCTTTATATTTTTATGGAAAAAAACAGGCATATCCTCAAGAACAGGTAGGAGTATTTGTTAGAAGAGGCAAAGGCGGACCGTTGACAGTAGTTGAGTATAGTGAACTTGATCAGACTATGGCTTCTGCTATTAATCAACGAACAGGCCGTCTTCAATATTGCTGGAGTAACGTAAAATCCTTTTCTCTTCTCCTTCTTATTCTTATGAATTTTCTCTACTAATCCAAAATTCTGTTTTACATCTTTCTTAGGTTTGCTTACACATGTTTACTTTAGATTTCCTTAATCAAGTCGCGACCGGCCTAGAAAAAGACAGCGTGTAAGCTCTCTACAAATACAATCGAATCCCGCTATCAAAATGTTACTAAATTGTTGTTTGTGGCAGGTACCATTTGGCGGAAAAGAAGATACCATCTATGAATGGATACACAATGGGACTAAAACTAGAACAATTCATTTTCGATTCGTTTCCATATGCTCCTTCAACCGCACTCTTTGAGGTATAGTATCAATTCATTTACACAAAACACTAACTAAAAGAACCAAATATTAAAAACTGAGAAATTGGATTGAGCAATGTGTAGGTATTAAGGGAAGAGGAATTTGCACCAGTGAAGAACGTGAACGGGTCGAATTTCGATACACCGGAAAGTGCGAGGCTTTTGGTTCTAAGGCTACACACACGTTGGGTTATAGCAGCTGGTGGATTTCTAACACATTCTGTGCCTTTATATGCAACTGGTAACTCTCACAATAAATCTTCTCATTACTGTGTTTCTATTTATTTTACGTTTCTCCTCTATGAATATATTTTTCTTATATGCAAAATCGAATAAATTTTAGGTGTAGAGGTTTCACCATTGTGCTCATACGCCGGAGAAAATCTTGAAGCTATTTGTCGTGGAAGAACGTTTCATGCACCTTGTGAAATTTCCCTCTAATGGTTTTTTTTGTTTTTGTTTTGGGGCATTAAAATGTTTTCTTTGTTTTCATGTGCTTTGTTTTTTTTTTTCCTTTTTAATTTTGTTTTTTACGGCTGTGGTTTATATATAAACTTATTATCATCTTCCCGTGAAAGAGAGAAAGAGAGAGTCAAAGAGGTCTTGGCATTTTATTGTAACATATCTAATAAAATTTTCAGTTTGTTTTTGAATCTTTTAGGTGTAGTTTTGGAGATGTCTCACTTAAGAGGAGTGAGTTTAGATGATTTATATGATTGAACCCATATAAAAAAAACTACTTGCGAACTCTTTATATGCTCGAAAGCCTTAAACATCACATGGCATATATCTTAATGGCGGAAATGTATGATATTAGTGAAGAGCAACATGACTTACTTGAAATTGGATCCCAAATTTTACTTAAAGACATGGAGTTAAGATTTCTGAGAAGTTACTAGGTACAGTAGGTTAGAAATGTACCTAAGAGATTATAAACATTCATCAGAAGATTGTCAATTTGTTATTTGTGTACGAGTACGACCCGCGATATGACAAAAGAATGCTGATCGGTTTTATGCCTTTAAACCGAAATCAAACTGATTAAACCAAACCAATCAATGCCCTAGGCTCCGAACTCTATATATTGGACTCTCTCCGACCGATCAATAAAAAAAAAATACAAGGATCATGAATAGAGAAAAAACTTTAGATTCCATCCCAATTGATCTCTTTCTTGAGATCTTCTCGAGATTGCCTACAAAGTCAGTCGGGAGATGTCGTTGCGTTTCGAAGCAATGGGCGTCAATACTTGTCCGTCAAGATTTCATCGAGTTGTTCCTGACCAAGTCCTCGACACGTCCACGTCTCTTATTCGCCATCCAAGGAAACAACGATGAATGGCTCTTCTACTCGTCACCTCACCCTCAGAATCCATATGAGAAGTCTACTGTAGTAGCGACCGATTTTCACACCAAGTTCCCTAGAAGCCAAAGTGATTGTTTCTACGCCTCTGGTTTGCTCTATTTTCCTGATGTGCAGATCTCAAAAAATAAGGGTGAGGATCCAGTGCCTGTGATCTGTAACCCTATCACAGGACAGTATGCGATCTTACCTAGACTAAGAACGGACGCAAAGCCGAGTAGCTTTTTTGGGTTTGATCCAATCGACAAGCAATTCAAGGTATTACACATGAACACTATAGTTAATAATGAAAAGGGTCATCGTATTTTGACACTAGGAACTGGAAAAATGAAGTGGAGGAAGATCCAATGTCCATATACCCATAAGACTAACCATAATACTTGGCATAATGGGATATGCATCAATGGGGTTTTTTATTACCCAACTAATGAAAAGCCATATAAGATAGTTTGCTTTGATGGTAGGTCTGAGAAATATAAGATTATTGACGCAACATGCTTTTCTGATGCATTGATAAACTATAAGGGTAAATTATGTGTGATTAAGTTGAAGTATGATGATGATTGCATATTTGTCCTTAAGTTGAGTATGTGGGTTCTAGAGGACGTCGAGAAACAGGAGTGGTCCAAATATGTCTACCCTTTTCCGAAGAATGAAAACTGCAAACATCTTTCTGTTGTTGGGATGACTACTACAGGTGAAATTGTTTTGCGGCAGAACTGGTCTAACTCTTATTTTTTCTACTTCAGTCCCGAGAGGAAAACTTTCCAATGTGTTAACTTCCAAGGTCTTGGAGTTAATTGTGGTAGAATTAATGCCTTTGTAGACCATGTAGATGATCTTAGTGTTAACAATGCAAAGCAACTCAAGTCAAGCATATATGTTCAAGAGCAAGATCGTAGTAAGTTTGAGAGTATTAACAAATTTGATGCTTTGTGTCGTTTAGATGGTGATTAATATACAAGAGTCTAAACGTGATTGCTTCCCTTGCTCAAGTCAGCTAAAAAAGCTCTCTATTTGATACAAGTTGTATTCTGTCTCTGTAAACATCAAGTTATCTTTTAAGTTCTTAAGAAATAAATTAAGTTTTTATTCAAGTCAGAGCCATGACTGAAATTGTCGTTATATAATTCTCTCTATCTTGCCTGTGAGTGTGACACTTCTCATTTACAGATTTCCTTTTGAGTTTTTTGTTTTTTTTTTTACTCTGTTGGCTTAAGCATATTTTTTCCCTTCTGGTTAGCATTTTTTTCTGGTAATTATGTTACACGTTACTTGGGAACAAATTAATGTAAGACATCTAGAGTACGCATTCTTGTTTGCTCCTTCCAATTTGCAATGAACCAAGCCAAAATGAAATTGAGAACTTGATGTGGTTCCACCATTGTGCTCGTATGCGGGAGAAAATCTTGAAGCTATTTGTCGAGGAAGAACGATTCATGCACCTTGTGAAATTTCCTTCTAATGGTTTCTGTTTTTGGGGTATTAAAATGTTTTCTTCATTTTCATGTGCTTTGTTTTTTTCTTTGCCCGGCTGTGGTTTATATAAAAACTTATTTTCTTCCCATGAGAGAGAGAAAGAGAGAGAAAGAGAGAGTCAAAGAGGTCTTGGCGTTTTGTATCCATATTGTAACATATGTAATAAAATTTTCTGTTGGTTTTTGAATCTTGAAGGTATAGTTTTAAGAGAGGTCTCAATTTTTTGTTATACAACTGTAAAACTGATTTTAGATAATTTATAATCAACAAAAAAAAAAAACTACATTACTAGCGAACTCTTTATATGCTCGAAAGCCTTAAACATAACATATATCGTAATGGCGGAAATGTATGGATTAGTGAAGAGTAACGTGACTACATACTTGAAATTGGATCTCAAATTTTACTTAAGACAGGATTTTTGAGAAGTTATTAGGTAGGATAGAAATGTACCGAAGAGATTATAAACATTCATCAGAAAATTGTAAATTTGTTATGTGTGTACGATTACGAGCCGCAATATGACAAAAGGATGCTGATCGGTTTTATGCCTTTAAACCGAAATCGAACTGAGTAAACCAAACCAATAAATGCCCTAGGTTCCGGACTCTATATAACGGTGTCTCTCCGTCTGATCAAAAAATAAAAAAACACAACGATCATGAAGAGAGTAAAAACTATAGATTCCATCCCAATTGATCTCTTTTTCGAGATCTTCTCAAGATTGCCTACAAAGTCAGTCGGGAGATGTCGTTGCGTGTCAAAGCTATGGTCGTCCATACTTGGCCGTCAAGAATTCACCGAGTTGTTCCTGACCAAGTCCTTGACTCGTCCACGTCTTTTATTTGCCCTTGAACGATACAACAGTGGTGAATGGTTCTTCTACTCGTCACCTCACCCTCAGAATCCATATGAGAAGTCTACTGTAGTAGCGGTCGATTTTCATATCAAGTTCCCTAGAAGCCCAAGTAAATGTAGCTATGCCTCTGGTTTGTTCTATTTTCCAGATGTGTGGATTTCAAAAAATAAGGGTGAGGATTCCGTGCCTGTGATATGTAACCCTATCACAGGACAGTATTCCATCTTACCTAAACCGATCTCACCCAAACTGAGCACGAAGAGAGAACCGATCAGCTTTTTCGGGTTTGATCCGATTGAGAAGCAATTCAAGGTACTGCTGATCCACACTGTAGTTAATAATGAAACGGTTCATCGTATTCTGACATTAGGAGCTGGAAAAATGAGGTGGAGGAATATCCAATGTCCCTTAGCCCATTATCCTGCTCGTGAAGGGATATGCATCAATGGGGTTTTGTATTACTTAGCTCAACAAACTAATAGAAAGTCTTATGCGATAGTTTGTTTTGATGTTAGGACTGAGAAATTCAAGCTTATTGATGCAAAATGCTTTGGTGATCAGTATGGAATTAAATTGATAAACTATAAGGGGAAAGTATGTGGGGTTAGGTTGAAGTATAAAAATGGTAGTGAGTGGAAAAGTGGAAGGCATATCCGTAAGTTATGTATGTGGGTTCTAGAGGATGTCGAGAAACAGGAATGGTCGCAATATGTCTACCCTTTTCCGAAGAATGGATACTGCAATCGTCTTTTCATTGTTGGGATGACTACTACATGTGAAATTGTTTTGTCAGAGAACTTAGGATCTAAGCCTTATAATGTTTGCTACTTCAGTCCCGAGAGGAACACTTTACAATGTGTTAACTTCCAAGGTGTTGAAGGTAACCTTGAAGAGTTTAAGCATTTTAATAAACTTTATGCCTTTGTAGACCATGTCGAGGATCTTAGTGTTAACAATGCAAAGCAACTCATGTCAAGCTTATTTGGTCTTAGGAACTTAGGCTTGTTTCAGAGCATAAACAAATTTGATGCTTTGTGTCCTTTAGATGATGATTAATAATATACATGAACGTGATTGCTTCTCTTGCTCCTCAAGGCAGCTCTCTATTTGAAACAAGTTGTATTCTCTCTATGTAAACATTAATATTTTATTCAAGTCAGAGCCATGGCTGAAATTGTCTTTATATAATTCTCTCTATTTTGTTTGTGAGTGTGACACTTTTCATTTACAGGTTTCGTGTGAGCTTTATTACTCTGTTAGCTTAAGCTCTTTTTTTTTTTTTTTTCCTTTATGGTTAGCATTGTTTCTGGTAATTGTGTTACACATTACTTGGGAGCAAACTAATGTTTGTTTATTCAAAAGTTCTTGTAAGACATCTATTTTGCATATTTTTGTTTGCTCCTTCCAATTTGCAATGAACAAAGCCAAAATGAAATTGAGAGATTGATGTGGTTCCACCATTGTGCTCATATGCGGGAGAAAATCTTGGAGCTATTTGTCGAGGAAGAACGATTCATGCACCTTGTGAAATTTCCCTCTAATGGTTTCTGTTTTGGGGTATTAATATGTTTTCATCATTTTCATGTGCTTTGTCTTTTTTTTGCCCGGCTGTGGTTTATATATAAACTTATTTTCTTCCCATGAGAGAGAGAAAGAGAGAGAGAGTCAAAGAGGTCTTGGCGTTTTGTATCCATATTGTAACATATGTAATAAAATTTTCTGTTGGTTTTTGAATCTTGAAGGTATAGTTTTAAGAGAGGTCTCAATATTTTGTTATCCAACTGTAAAACTGATTTTAGATAATTTATAATTAACAAAGAAAACTACATTATTAGCGAACTCTTTATATGCTCGAAAGCCTTAAACATCACATTCACATATATGGCGGAAATGTCTGACATTAGTGAAGAAAAAAGTGCTTAGATACTTGAAATTGGATCCCAAATTTTACAGTAAACATGACTTTTTAAGAGTTAGGAGTTTTGAGAAGTTAGTAGTTAGAATAGAAATGTACATAAGAGATCATCAAAAGACTTGTCAAATTGTTACTTGTGTACGACCCGCGATATGGTAAGGGATGCTGATCGGTTTTCTGCCTTTAAACCAAAATCAAAGAGAACAAACCAAACCAAAACAAACCAATAAAAAAATGCCCTAGGTTCCGAACCCTACATATTGGAGTCTCTCCGTCTGATCAACAAATACAACAATATAACGAAATGAATAGAGGAAAAACTTTAGATTCCATTCCAATTGATCTCTTTTTCGATATCTTCTCGAGATTACCTGCAAAGTCAGTCGGGAGAAGTTGTTGCGTGTCGAAGCAATGGGCGTCAATACTTGGCAGTCAAGATTTCGCCGAGTTGTTCCTGAACAGGTCCTCGACTCGTCCACGTCTCCTATTCGCTCTCCAACAAAAAAACGGTGGTGAGTGGCTCTTCTACTCGTCACCTCACCCTCAGAATCCATATGAGAAGTCTACTGTTGTAGCGGCCGATTTTCATACCAAGTTCCCTAGAAGCCAAAGTAATTGTAGCTATGCCTCTGGTTTGTTCTATTTTCCTGATGTGCGGATCTCAAAAAATAAGAGTGAGGATCCAGTGCCTGTGATATGTAACCCTATCACAGGACAGTATGCGATCTTACCAAAAATGAGGAAGGAGAGAAAGCAGATCAGCTTTTTAGGGTTTGATCCGATTGACAAGCAATTCAAGGTATTGCTCATCAACAGTTTAGTTAATGAAACGGTTCATCATATTCTGACATTAGAAGCTGGAATAATGAGGTGGAGGAAGATACAATATTGTCCGGTTACCTATAAGCCTTTTAGAAAAGGGATATGCATCAATGGGGTTTTGTATTACTTTGCTAATCCAACTATAGTTTGCTTTGATGTTAGGTCTGAGAAATTTAATTTTATTGACAAAAAATGCAATTCTTATGAATTGATGAACTATAAGGGTAAATTATGTGTGATCAGTTTGAAGTATGAAAATGATAAAGGATGGCATAGTGGATGGCGTAGTGAATGGGAAACCCGTGAGTTACATATGTGGATTCTAGAGGATGTCGAGAAACAGGAATGGTCGCAACATGTCTACCCTTCTCCGGAGAATGGATACGGTAAACGCCTTTCCGTTGTTGGGATGACTACTACAGGTGAAATTGTTTTGTCGGAGAACTTATCATCTAAGCCTTATAAAGTTTTCTACTTCAGTCCCGAGAAGAACACTTTCCAATGTGTTAACTTCCAATATGTTGGAGCTAACCTTGAAGAGCATAAGTATTTTGGTACAGTTGATGCCTTTGGAGACCATGTCGAAGATCTTAGTGTAAACAACGCAAAGCAACTCAAGTCAAGCGTCTTTGATCTTAGGAACTTAGGATCGTTTGAGAGCCTTAACAAATTTGATGCTTTGTGTCGTTTAGATGATGATTAGTATACATGTATCAAAACGTGGTTGTTTCCTTGCTTAATCAAGTCATCTGAAAAAAGCTCTCTCTTTGATACAAGTTGTAATCTCTCTATGTAAACATCAAGCTTTCAAAGAGATTCTTCAAAAAGTAAGTTTTTATATATTCAAGTAAGAGCCATGGCTGAAATCGTCTTGATAAGATTCTCTCTATCTTGCTTGTGAGTGTGACAATTAACACTTCTCATGTACATGTTTCGTGTGAGCTTTATTACTCTGTTGGCTTAGAATTTTGTTCTGGTAATTGTGTTACATGTTACTTGGGATCGGAGCAAACTAATGTTTGATCAAACGTTCGTTTTAAGACATCTAGAGTATTCTTGTTTCCTCCTTCCAATTCGTAGTCAACCAAACGAAAACGAAATTCCTATGTTTGCTAGCCAAAAATACCAAACCAAAGTTGAATCAAAAATTTGTTCAGGGATTCAGAACTCATATCATAAGGTCTCAAAAGTTACAACATCATCAACCACTTAAATTTCGTCCGAGATACTTTCTTCAGAATCTTTTTTGTTATATGCTCGAAAGCCTAGAACATTGAAGCTTATGCTTTATTGTATCTGAGGTTTGAACTAACCAGCCACCTCCAACTTTTCTGAGCGATAGCTTTCCTTGATCGTTCTTCTCCATTTCGAGTACCCTCAAGGTTTTCGATTTTCCTTTCAGGACTTCAAGACCTTTAGCTGTACCTATAAAATTGATGGAGGATTGATTAATCTTATAGGTCAAAAAGCTAAGTTAGATTTTGTGACTAATATAAATAGTGAAAAAGTGTTTTTAAGTTACCTCGTAGATTTCTACATCAAAGGCTACAATACCAGCAAAAGCACTAACTGCATCTTGTTTTACAACAAGACGGTAATCCTCGAGAATATCACTGCGAGAGGTTATACACCACAAGGATTTGTGTGCTTCACGAGTTCATATGTTAGGTATTTGTTATATGACATTTGTATCTAATCATTGATATCATTAAAGACATTCTTTAAAATCTTTAACTTCTACTGATGTCTTATATGATTATGGAAATCGACTATTTTATTTATGTATATCAAGGATAATGTTCATAGACGACTAGAGATATATGTAGTGTGACCAAGGAAATAAATTTCCCTGAATCTCAACAAGGTAAATAAATTAGAGAGATCTATTTACAGCATCAACGAGATTATTTAATAATTAGAGATAATAATATTCGGATGCTTCCCAGTGTTCTTCTGTAACTCTTTCTAATGCTCGATTTGGAAATCGAAATCGTGCGTGGGCCATGCACCATTGTCTCTGTACCTCTCAAAGACCCTTGCTCTCCCAGTGCGTTCCACCACCAATGCTGTCGTACTTGTTGTTCCTAAACGTTGCCGTCCAAGCTGAATGAAAATGAAAAAGAGAGAGATTAACGTACTAATCTATGATGGATCATAAGAAATGTTAGATTTAATTTCTTACTTGTTCATTAGGATGAACAGTCATAGCTTCGAGAAACACTGCATCGCCGTCTTCTTGATCTCCCTCAGCATTATACATAAACCTCCCAGCAATCTCCGCAAGCGGTGGTAGTTGATTGTTTCCCAAGTCATCAATCATCTCATTAAACAAGCCTCTCAGGCGTAAATCCTGCAAATTAAAAGAAAAACAAAAATTTTATAAAGAGAGAAACTATACGAAAAGACACTTGTACTTAAGACTTACCCTGGAAGCTTCTGAATCGAGACCAAAGTAAGGAGAAATTGTATGCACACCAAACGGAACGGGGTTTACGATGATATCCGGATCATCTTGAAAGGTTTTCCAGATATGAACCATTGAATTCAATGTCATATCTGCGACTATAAGGCTATAGGACCACCCTTCAGACGGATCCAGTTCTCCATTATTATGTCTTTGCGCTTCACGCTGTGCCACGTGGAGAGGAAAATCCTCTAGACTCATATTGCTCTGCAATTAAAGAAAGCAATCCCTTGATCAAATAAAGATATTTGAATAATAATGAAAAGCAAAATATGCAAGAAACAAACCTCCAAGAATTCAATTGGGTACAACTCAGAGCCTGTGTCTGGTTCAATGTAGTCTAAACCCAACGATGAACCCACGAGAAAAGCGACTCGGCCTCCTCTAGAAATACCAAACCACGTTCCGCCGTTATCTTCGCACCGACCACTCAATATGTGGCCATTTGCATTCCAAGATGCCCCACGTATGACCCTATTAATCACTCATAGAAACAAAGAAAAAAAACATCAAAAAAGTATTCAACAAGAAAGTCTGATGCACAAAATTAAAACCAAAAATGTCTGAATCTTATACTTGCCTGTTTTCCCAATTGTCTCTGTTCATCAGCAGCATCAGTTGGTTGTTATTTCCCTCTGCCCAGTTGAATGCTACGATTCCCATTTTTGTTTTTGAAAGAATATTATAAAAGTTTTTTGCTATTTGATTCTCTTGCTCGGTGTTGTTCTTGTAGTGATTTGTGTTGTGACCACCTCCATGTTTTTATAGCCTAGAGATGAGTTTCTCTACTCTGCTCTTTCCTTTGCTTCTTCTTCTCCCAACTACCCCACGCTCTTAAGAGATTCTTTATCCATTTTTGGATATAGCTTTTGCTGTTTTCTGTCACCATCATACTCTCTCCTTCATTCAGTAACCACTAGGAGCCGTGTCTATGTGATACAATTTACTTTTACAGATTCATGTATGTAAAACCACAATAAAAGTGGCTTCTAGTAGCACAATGTGCTATAATAAGTAAAATGGAAGATGGAGAGTTTCAACATTTTCTTGACTGTTCCACTTTCGCTCTAGCTTTTTTACAACAGATTGAGTAAGGAAGACTCATGTGTATGTGGAAAACTTTAGAAATCTTTGTACTATACTAAAAATATACAAAAGTGGTTTCTAGTGGCACACAAGTTTAAGACTCAAGTCCAACTACGCTTTGGTCTTAGTGCTTATTGAGTAAGGAGAAGTCATGTGTATATATGTGGAACACTTTAGAAATATTTGTACTATACTAAAAATATACAAAGTGGTTTCTAGTGGCACACAAGTTTAAAACTCAGATCCACCTATTATTTGATCTTAGCTTTTGTAATCCTAGACTAGTAGCTATATGATCTGTTTTAATTTTCTTGTATAATGATCATTTATGTGTACATGTGGAATCATTAAGACTTAGTATACCCAAAAAATAAGAGATAAGAGATTTCTTGTGGCACACGTATGAAGATTTGCATAATATTCATACTAAAAATATACAAAAGTGGTTTCTAGTGGCACACAAGTTAAAGACTCAAGTCCAACTACTCTTTGGTCTTAGTGTTTATTGAGTAAGGAGAAGTCATGTGTATGTGGAACCATTTATAAAAAGTACATTTACTAATTGGAGTAAAATTGAATTGAAGACGTTAAAGAAAACAATTTTTTTGGTTGTGTAATTTATTTTATAGAAGCAACTTACTAGAGGAATGATTGATTCTATTATTATATGAAATTATTCATAATGCATTGGAACAGGGATCTTTAGAAAATGCACCAAATATTGATGAAATGCCTGAGAGAGGAAACTTATATCCACCTCCCCGCCATTGTTGTAGTAGATGACACTTTGTTTTAATGTCAAAGTCTGTGTGGATATGATCGGATTTTGAAGCATTTGTGAATGTTTCTTTGACTGATTCAAGGAATCAGGTAGTGAGAGCAGAGCAAGTGAGTGCGATGATTCAAGAAGCACCAATTGCAGTCATATGGAAATGGAAGCATTTTGAGGTTTGATCACTGAATTTGGATACTCGAGCAATCTACAGTTATGGAACTTGTCATTCTTTCCGCTTTGTATGTTATCTATATTTCCATTTTCATTCTCAGTTTTTGGTTGATTTGCCTTTTAACACCAGTTTCTAGATGAGTTATATCTCCATTGCATTCAAGTTCCGAATATGTTTTTAATACTGATGTAGTAAATTGATATCAATTTCTTGAGAAGTTTTATGATAAACCTTGAGTTTGTTGATTCTTGAAGTCGATGTTTCTTGAGTTAGGTTGGACTATTTTTTCTGTCATTGCGCTATTGTAATGTATAATCATTGGCTAAGAGCTTCTTAGAACTGATTTTAGACTCGAATTACATAAACCATGAGATTGAAATTAGAAAATCAAATTGGAAACAAACATTCCTATAAAAAAAGGACATGGCCCAAAATAAGTAAATCATGAGATAGTTTACTTGGTTTTATCAATGAGTCTCATACCGCAGTTAGATAGCGGATGCGTTGGTCATCCGAAGCTACAATAACCTTTGTCTACTCATCCTCCTCAACGGGGAACAAGGAGGGGGTAAACTTATAGAAGTCCTGACATAATGGCACCCACACCAGGTTGACCCCAAAACTCTCCAACTGTTAGCTTCCATGTCATACTCATGAACCAAACCTTTGAAAGATAGATAAGTTAATCTCTTCGTGTAAATTCTAGTCGATCCATGAACATCCACCATCTTCGCCATGAACGAATATCGATCACCCGCTTCATCAATCTGTTGCAACTCACAAACATTACTTGCTAACTACACTCACTCCAAGCATTTATATTGTACAAAAACATTAAACAAAAAAAGTCTTATGTTTAGATAGTTACCATATTTTGCGTTGGACGCCCTGCTCCATGCCCGGCTTTTACTTCTATTCGAGCAATTATAGGGTTCGTCTGTGGACTATTCTCTAAACTCAAACCTAATTCATATTGCATTGTTTTCGAAAGCAAAATCGGGTTCGATGGAAGATTAAGAAGAAGAGGAAGACACAACAAACAAACAAGAGGTTGAGAGACAAACCGCAAGCAACTTGTAAGTATGAAGTGGCACGACTCTATCGTCGTGATCAGCAGTTAACAACATGGTTGATGGGTACTGAACAAACCGATCTGTCTTCTGTTCCCAAGGCCTCTTCACATTATGCAGAGGCGAATACCTTATTTTTTACAGATTAAAACCATCAGATATCTACCAAAAGAAAGAAGCTTTATGGTGACCTTAGTTTACTTTATCAGCCAATGGAACTCCTCTTCCTTGTCAGAACAACCAAATTCAGAAGTCCAAGCATGTCTTATGGTAAACTTCTGAAACCGGAGGATGTCCATGACCCCGACATGAGCCAGAGGACACCCAAATATTTATTACTCTGTTTTACGTGATTAATGCAAGCCCCTACTAGAATACCAACACCTTCGATACAAATTTTTCTCGGTTGTGTATAACCAGCAGAAACCAGATACTCAGCCGCGGAAATGAAATCATCGAAGCAATTCTGCTTATTGGCTAGAGCGCCAGATTTATGCCATTCCTCACCATACTCACCACCACCATGGATGTTTGCAAAACAGAACACGGTACCAAGATGCCTACTAAGCACAATACGAGTCGCGCTGAAAAACCGAGTCATGCTTAGCTAAACCCTCCATATTCATAGAGCAAACATGGGTGTGATCCATGCATCTAGCTTTATATCTTTTCTAGCCACTATAAACATCGGTATCTCTGTTCCGTCCTTACTCGGATAAAAGAACTATAAAACATATATAGTCATGAAAATATGAACTCAAAATTAATGTTTGTATTGCAGATTCAATACTTTGTAATGGAGAAAGCATATACATACCTGAGTGACTTGAACCGAAAACCCCTAAATTGTCTCAAGAATTCTAAATCACAATTTTGCACACAAAATCTCTTCTGCTTCTGCGTGGTTCTCCGGCGTGGTAGTTGTCTATCCGTGACCAGAAGAGTCTGTCTTGGGTTTTATTTGGCCCAAATCCATCAGTTTTAGTTTGAAATTCCAAACCTAACCCAAAAATCGAACAAAATAAGTAAATAACAAAGATACTGATCGGTTTTATGCCTTTAAACCGAAATTAAACCTAAACAACCAAACATTGATTTAATTCGGAATTAATAATGCCCTAGCCCCCCTCAGCTCCGTATATGTATTAAGACTAGGATCGGACCCGCGGTCCACCGCGGGAGAATATTGGTTTACATACGTTGCGTTTAATATTGTGTGTGTTTTTTAGTAGAACGAATCGTGTAGTATACTTATAAATATTCATAATAACGAATTGTAGAGAAAATGTAAAATTGTTTATAAATATACCCATCATATTAATTATGATTTACAAAATAGAATTTTGTGTTTTAAAATTCTAAAATTAGACGATTCATGGGAATTAGAGCAGTCAAAATAGGTCAAAAACCGCGGGTCGAGCCCACATCATCTCACTATGGGGCAGATTTGGGAAAATATATTAAACCCGCAAATAAGCGGGCCACATGGATTAATTCGCAGTGGGTCATAAGTTTAATCGATTTTCATCCGCGGGTTGGCGGATCAGCCCGCATATTAGTATTTATTGATAAAATTATAATTTATTCAACATGTGGTAATTTAAACAAACTTTTAATAGTATTTTTATTTATTTATTTATTTTAGTAGTATTTTAAATTTTGGTTACTTTAAAATTATTTAAACAAAATCCATGGACAATCCCGCAAATCCGCATACATTCGTGGGACGGGTTTGTATTTCATATATGCTACCCGCGGGTCGTGCGGACCGATTAACACAAGTGAAAATATTTTTTGTCTATCGCAAAACGGACTCAACGAGACGAATCAACTCGCTTTGACAGTTCTAATGGAATATTATTTAGTCATACAACAAAATGAAGTTTGGACATAGTAATAATAGAATATGTATCTTATTTGTTAGATGAGAGATTGAAAGATGAAGTATAATGATTAAAAATTAATTATTATTTTTCATGATTCACAAAATTTAATAAATACTTATCATCTTGTTGAATAATTCTAAAATCATATTCAAAAAATCTTTATAAATTGAAAATTAAACTTCTTTGGTAAGCTATAGGTATGAAAATATCATAATTTCGATTTAATCTAATTAAATTAAAATTAGTTACATGGATTTCATATCTATTTAATTTACACGACCAAAATAAAAATATCTATTTAATTTACACGACCAAAATAAAAATATCAATTTAATTTATAAAACAGATGGGTTATTTGTGATAAATTTTCTAGAAATCTTTAGAAGCAAATAAAATATATTTCAATTAATGATAATTGGCTAAAATGAGCGAAATTAATGACAAAAACATTGATTGTTATGGAATTAGTCCCAAAAATATATGAACAAATTTATTATATACGTAATTAATGTATAATATTGTTCGGAATATACTTTTATTATTAGTTACCATAAGTACAATCAGATTTTATTTTATTTCCATAAATATTTGATTTTATTTCGATTTTTCATTATTAATTTGAATTTATATTCCAAAAAAATTTCAAAGATCCGATTTCAGAATTTCGGGTCAATTTTCTGATTTTAACCCGACCCATTTTCATTTGTACTTTTCTTTTAATAGTATAGAGATTCTCTGCGACTATTTGTATGCAATCTGCATATGGATATGGATCTCATTCCAACCGATGTCATGCTTGAGATACTCTCGAGATTGCCTGCAAAGTCAGCCATAAGGTTTCGTTGTGTATCGAAGCTATGGGGGTCCATGCTTAACCGGCCATATTTCACCGAGTTGTTCTTGACCAGGTCTTCAGCTCGTCCACGTCTCATATTTGGGGTGGTCAAACGAAACGGTGAGTTGCTCCTCTACTCCTCGCCTCAGCCTCGGAATCTTTATAAGAATTCTTCTCTTGTAGTAGCTGCCGATTTTCATTTGAAGTTCTCTGTAGACAATAACAATTGCGGATACAATTGTGAGTATACTTCTGGTTTGATCTATTTCCCAAGGAAGTATAAGGATGCAATGCCTGTGATATGTAACCCTGTCACGGGACAATATGCTACCTTACCTGTAGGGAAAGAGTACATACGGTGCAAAAGCTTTCTAGGGTTTGATCCAATTGACAACCAATTCAAGGTATTGCGCATGCACAATAACCTTCGTAAGGATTGGGATAATTATATTCTGACATTAGGAACTGGAAATATGTGGAGGAAGATCCAATGTCCTTTAACACATTATCCTGTGCGTGAAGGGATATGCATCAATGGGTTTTTGTATTACTTAGCTGAACTAGCTGATGAACTAAGTGATAAAAAGTCTTATGCGATAGTTTGTTTTGATGTTAGGACTGAGAAATTCAAGTTTATTGACGCAGAATGCTATTATCATAAATTGATAAACTATAAGGGGAAAGTGTGTGGGATTAAGTTGGAGTATGCTTATGATGGTGGATTTCCCCTTAAGTTGAGTTTGTGGGTTCTAGAGGATGTTGAGAAACAGGAATGGTCGAATTATTCCTACTGTCTGGAGGTTAAGAATGTTAAGGCTAACTGCAATCTTTCTGTTGTTGGGATGACGGCTAGAGGTGAAATTGTTTTGGTTAAGGAGGATGCATTTAAACCGTTTTATGTTTTCTACTTTAATCCCGAAAGGAACACTCTCCAAAGTGTTGAAATCCAAGGTGTTGGAGAAGTCCAAAAATGGTCTAACATCGATATAGTTTTCGGCTTTGTAGACCATGTAGAGGATCTTAACTTTGATATTATGTAGACAACATATGCTGCAACATCTAGAAGCCAACGAAAACAAAGTGTAAACCCCCTTTAGAAGATCATCAAGTTAGGACCATTGCTCACCTGGAACAAGATCGTCATACGTTTGAGAGCGTTAACAAATTTGATGCTCTGTGTCTTTTAGAAAGTTTTTATTCAAGTCGTTAAGAGTCATGTCTGAACTTTTTTTCATAATATTTATAACATAAGAGTCGCATCAACAGGTTTCGTTTGAGCTTTAACACTCTGTTGCTATCAAGCATATAGATCAAGAGTTGTAATTCCATTATGGTTACAGTCTCTTATAGATGCCGATATGCCAAACATTACTTCTTGATATCAGTTAGTAATAAATGACTAAGGGCTTGATTGGTTCTCCCGCTAGCACCTGCCTAGCGGTTGTTAGCGGTTGGTTGCGGTTGCTAGCGGTTGGTACCAATCATAGAAACCGCTCCACACCGCTTCGAACCGCTCGAAATCGCTGGATTTCAAAAGCTCCTTCCCGCAAGCGTTTGCGGTTGCGGGCGGTTGCGGTTGGTGTAAAAAAGGAAATAAACTAAAAAAGAAAAATAAATAAATTAAAATATATATCATCATGTCTGATTTATATTCACGTTAATTCTAAAAAAATAATTATTATTTAACTTTAATTTTCTAATATAAATAATTATTTTTGTTTTCAATATAAAAATTTATATGAATAATTATTTATGGTTTTTAATCATTAATCATTTTTAAAAAATTTATATTTTTCATAACTATAGTTTCTGGTGTTTTATAATTTTTTGTAATCATATATTAAATTTATTTTGGTAAATTTTGGTTTAACCGCTATCGTACCCGCTGATCAACCAGTCGTAAATCTCCCGCAAACGCACCCGTTTTCAACCGCTAAACCAGTCGGCCAAAACGCTATAAAACGCTTGAAACCGCAACCGCCCGCTTCCGCAAACTCCCTCAATCGCAACCGCAACCGCTGCGTTTAAACCAGTCAAGCCCTAAGTCAAAATAAGAAGATATTACGAGATTCTAGATCTCGAGTCGTACGTGAATATGATTTTATTGTTGACAAGAATTTTCATATCATCTTGAAATTATATTTTTTAATTCTTACCGTCTCGAAAATATAGACTGTGTTTTCTATATTAACAGCTTTTCTTATGTTCTTACCAACACAGGAAAGATGAAAGTCTCTAGTTTATCATTGCGTGATTATTATATTGGCGGCTATTTATATTCAGTAAAAATTGATTAGTCTTTACAAAATCTTTTAAAACTAATTGGACATATTGATATTGCTTTTTGTTACAACTTTCAAGGAAATCAGAGCATGGAAATTAAAACTGAAACATCAAACATTGTAGCAGTAGGTCACTTCAACTAACGTTCTTAGAGCTTGCCAGTGACAAAATAGCTTATCCATAAGACCATCACGTATCTACGAGCATATACATAAGATATATATGAGTGATGCCAAATATAAAAACCAGATCAATAAGTATCAACTAGACAAAAACAAAAATTAAAAAGACAGTTTGAATAAATACATGGGTTGTTGAATGGTAGATGTTTGATCGATTTAAGAACCTTGTCCACAAAAAAATATTCAGAAAACAATCTCCAACTTTGTTTTTATCAAAATAATTACAGACGTTAGTCTATGTTAAGTGTGCTCTGAAACTGTTAAAACTACATGTTCGTTTTAAAACAAAATAAACGGATCCATTTCTTAAAATCCCAAATCAATTTCAGCTTCCTTAGGCGAGCTCGAGCAATCTTTGGTTTTACCCATAATCATGATTTCGATGAAGAACAAAAATTCACAATCATGGTTTCGATGAAGAACAAACTGATCATGATTTAACACTGTTGGTATCAAACATATAAATTGAAGTTGGATCTTTAACACTATGATGATCACTTATTTACCCACAAATACAAAAAAAACTGTGAGTACCGCTGTGAGTCGTGGTCTGGTGGTAAAAGGCTCACAGCTGTGAGTACCGCCACCAGGATTCGATTCCTGGCCACAGCGGATTTAACCTGGCTTCCGTTTGGCTTCCAGGACCACACTAGATCCGTTTGGACGCGGTGCTAGTTGGGGTCCAACACCTGGGTTACCAAAAAAAAAAAAAAAAAAAATACAAAACATATTAAACCAAACCTTGATCGGTTTTTATTATGCCTTTAAACCGAAATCAAACTGATTAAACCAAGGCTTGTTTTGGTTCGGAAGAAATGCCCTAGTCCCCGAGCTCTATATAATGGAAATGAAGTCTCTCCGCACGATCAGCAATACAACAATATAACGAAATGAATAGAGAAAAAAATTTAGATTCCATTCCAATTGATCTCTTTCTTGAGATCTTCTCGAGATTGCCTACATATTCAGTCGGGAGATCCCGTTGCGTTTCGAAGCAATGGGCGTCAATACTTGGCCGTCAAAATTTCACCGAATTGTTCTTGACCAAGTCCTCGACTCGTCCACGTCTCTTATTCGCCCTCCAACCATACCACGGTGGTGAATGGCTCCTCTACTCGTTGCTTCAGCCGCAGAATCCATATGAGAAGTCTATTGAAGTAACCGCAGATTTTCATACCATGTTTCCTAGAAGCCCATATGATTGTATATATTCCTCTGGTTTGTTATGTTTTCCTGCTGTGTGGATTTCAAAAAATAAGGGTGATGATGCAGCACCTGTGATATGTAACCCTAGCACGGGACACTATTCGATCTTACCTAAACTGAGAATGGACAAAAAGACAAGAAGCTTTTTAGGGTTTGATCCGATTGAGAAGCAGTTCAAGGTGTTGTTCATGATGGGTATTGTTGGTAGTGAGAGGGTTAATCTTATTATGACATTAGGAACTGGAAAGTTAAGGTGGAGGAATATCCAATGTCCTTTTACCCTTAATCCCTTTCGGTTGTGTGAAGGGATATGTATCAATGGGGTTTTGTATTACTTAGCTAAACATATTGATGAACGAAATCAGAAATGTTATGTGATAGTTTGCTTTGATGTTAGGTATGAGAAATCTAAGTTCCTAGACTCAGTCTGCTTGTTTGATCAATTGATAAACTATAAGGGGAAATTAGGTGGATTTTATTTGAACTATGCTTCTAGTGATGGATTTCCCCTTAAGTTGACTATGTGGATTCTAGAGGATGTCGAGAAACAAGAATGGTCCAAATATGTCTACACTGTGTGGGATGAGAGTAAAACTGTTAAGGTTGACCACAAGCTTTCTGTTGTTGGGATGACTGCTAGAGGTGATATTGTTTTGGCGGAGAAGGATACATCTAATCTATTATATGTTTTCTACTTCAATCCCGAAAGGAACACTCTCCAAAGTGTTAAAATCACAGGTTTTGAGTATCATGGTAAAGTTTCCGTATTTTTAGACCATGTAGAGGATCTTAATGTTAACGATACAAAGATATTAAAGTCAAGCGTCTATGCCCCTCTGCAACAAGATCGTCCTACGTTTGAGAGCAGTAACAAATTTGATGCTTTGTGTCTTTCAGATGATGATGATTAATTTAACAGGTTTCAAAACCTGGTTGCTTCCCGAGTGAGCTAAAAGCTCTTTATTTGATACAAGTTGTATTCTCCCTGTAAACATCAACTTATTATCTAATTAATATTTTTATTTATTTAAGTCAATGCCACGGTTGAAGTTGTGTTCATAGAATTCTCTCTATCACTTTGTTTGTCTTCGGGACTGTCTATCATGCCAGGTGAAGGAGCACACATATGTTGAAATCAAGCAAATAAATTGAAGTTGGATCTGAAATAGAGATATTAGACGTGCGTATATTTATTTTCCTGTGACAAATAGACATATGATTAATCAAAGTCGAATCAATAGTGTAAAAAAAAAAAGTCGAATCAGTAAGTTGTTCAGGGATTCATGATCATAAGGTCTCAAATGTTTCAATATCATATACCATTCTTAATTAATTTCGTTTTGTTCAGGATCTACTTGTGAACGTTTTATATGCTCGATAGCCTTTTAACATCATTTAAATCTAAACTTTGCGCAATGGATTCCCTTGATCGTTCTTTTTCGCCTTGTATATTTTCAAGGTTTTTGATTTTCCTTTCAGGACTTCAAGACCTCTTTTATCAGTATAATTACTAGGGAGCTGCTACAATTTCATTGAACATTTTTGTTACTCCATGTAACTGATAGACTTTGGTATCTCCCTAGCTATTTGCTAAAACCTATGAAACAGATTTTTTGACAGCGATAAATTCGACTTTGAAGGCTACAATACCATCAAAAGCACTAACGGCATGCATCTGCTCTTACAGCAAGGCAGTTAATTCATCATCTGCATCTATGGATCAAAGCTAAATTTATCATTTGCTTCCACTTTTGAGTTTCTTCTTAAATGGCTAGCTCTATAGCGTCATGTAACACAAGTCGTGTTTAATGTTTTGTCCTAAATAAAGCATATCCAATATGACAAAAATAAAATCATAATTATTATTATTATCATTGACTGCTCTAAAGTTGAATACATGTAAGTGACCAACTTAAACAATTTTTATGGTTCATGTCTTCACCATCAATGATCATAACAATGTATTCTTACTGCTAAACCTAGCAGATACTCCTCATTGACGAATTTGGTTGGCATGAAAAAAATAACAAGAAGCCATTCTAATCAATTAATTAAGTACCAGTAAGATAAGATAAATCAATAAACCTTTGAAATATTTATAGATCAATACTGGAAAAAAGAAAAATTCATATATCTTTAGATGGTTAAAGCCCATGTTTCCTGGGCTTTAGGTTAGCGCTAACCTTGAACTTCACGAGATTCTTCCACATATAATTTCAAGAGTCTCTGCCATTTGATAAGCAAATACAACGACAATGAACAGAGGTGAAAACTCAGATTCCATCCCTATTGATCTCATTCTTGAGATACTCTCGAGATTGCCTTCAAAGTCAATCGCGAGGTTTCGATGCTTGTCGAAGCTATGGGGGTCCATGCTTCGCCAGCCATACTTCACGGAGTTGTTCCTCACCAGGTCTTCAGCTCGTCCACGTCTCTTAATTGGGATCCGATCACAAAACGGTGAGTTTAGCTTCTTCTCAACGCCTCATCCTCAGAATCCATATGGAAAGTCGTCACTTGTAGTAACCGCCGATTTTCATATGAAGTTTTCTGAAGATATGCGGCCAGTCTTTTGTTGCGTTACTTCTGGTTTGATTTATTTTTCTAGTATGCGGATCTCAAAGGACGAGAATGAGGATGAAGTGCCTGTGTTATGTAACCCTATCACAGGACAGTATGCGATCTTACTGATATCTTGTGTTTTTGCTCCATTTTAAGCTTTGTTTCTCTTGGTTTTTCATCATTTTGCATTCTTGTTTAGGTCCTTAGGTGCATATTTCCATAGCATTTCTTACTTTTAGGTTCTTGGAGTGGAGCATTGAGTTTTAGAAGCAAATGGAGTTAAAAAAAGTGAAGAATCAAAGAATCAAGAGGAGGATGAAAGCAATAGACCAGTTGGTCGATTGGGACCAAACCAGACCCGCGGACGAGAAGGAATCGAGGAAGCAGTCGACCAATTGGTCGATTGCTAGGTCGATTGACTGGTCGATTGCCTGGTCGATTGGGTACTTAAACCAGGTCAAAACCCGGTTTGTTCCGGGTTGACCCGGTTCGTTTTCTTTTTCTATAAATGTGTCTAAACCTAATTTCTAGATTTCTCATGCTACCTAAGCATAGTTTTCTTCATTTCTCTTTGTAATCAACTTTAAACCTTTGTGATTCTTGCTTTTATATAAGTATTTCTTTAGATTCAACTTCTATCTATCTCTTATACTCTTCTTCTAACATGAATTTTCAAGGATTAGTATCAACTCCTTGGATTTTCATGGCTTTAAGTGAGTAGTCTTTTTAGAGCTTTTGAGTCAAGTAGATTAGGGTGGTTAGGTGATGATTTGTGATGCTTAGGACTTAGTCTTAATATATCCTTACTCTCTAGGTGCTCTTAGTGCTAGATTAGTCTTGATTAAGCTAGTCTAGATCATAGGAAGTTTCATGCCCGGAAGGTGTTCGATGAAATTCCCGAAAGAACTTAGTGAGTGCTTAGCATTCCTAGCCAATGGAAATTGATGATTATGGTGCTAGGTGGTTAGTAAGACTTGAAATTAATGCATATTAGTCTTGTGATTGCCAATAGAAATTGATATTAATTGCTTGATTAATGTAGAGTTATTGCCATGAAGGTGGATTAGCTTAAATTAGTGATCTTAGACCTAAGCATTAGCAAATAATTGATTGTATTAGCATCATAGATTATCCTTTGACCACCCAAGTCAATAACCTTAACCCAAAGGCTTATTCATTTAGCATTTTCGTCTTTGACTTTTTGTTGACTTTCGTTGACTTTTTGTTGACTTTTATAAATTGCATCTTTCTCATTTATTTTGCTATTGCTTTATGTTTATGGGTTATTGCTTAGCTTAGACACTTGTTTAGCTTTGTCAATTTATTTTGGTTTGTTTATTTCATTTGCATTTTAGTTCCTTTTGTTTTTATTTCACTTAGGTTGTTAGTTTAAAACCAATCCTATATTTGCTTAGATTAAGAAATTTTGTGTATTCTTAGTGTCTTAGATCTCTAGTTCTCTGTGGATTCGACCCTTAAGTGCTATAAACGATAACCATTAGATTGTGGTTTGTGGACTTGAGGAAATATTAATTGATAGAAAACCTCTTAATCACTTACCTTCTTGATGAGGTACAGAAAGTTTTTTAGTTTTCTAGGGTTTGATCCGATTGACAAGCAATTCAAGGCATTGTTCATTGCTTATCCATATTGTTCTGATGATCAGGAAATTCTGACAGTAGGAACTGAAAAAATGGAATGGAGGAAGATCCATTGTCCCTTAACCCATCATCCTATTTCTAAAGGGATATGCATCAACGGGGTTTTGTATTACTTCGCTTGCGGAATTGTTCGAACGTCTGATGATGAAAATTATGAAGATGTGATTGTTTGCTTTGATGTTAGGTATGAGAAATTTAAATTTATTGATGCAAATTTCTTTCGTGATCGCGATCAAGTTTTAGATATTACTGAATTGATTTGGATAAACTATAAGGGTAAATTATGTGCGATTAGTTGGGGGATACTTTGTGGTAACACTGGTGGAAGGATGTTGCGTATGTGGGTTCTAGAGGATGTTGAGAAACATGAATGGTCGAAATATGTCTACACTTTGACGGAGAATGAAGTCATTAAAGACTTGTATGATTTAATCGTTGGAGTGACTGCTACAGGTGAAATTGTTTTTTCTAAGAAGAATGATACATCTAGACCAGTTTACGCTATTGTAGACCTTGTAGAGGATCTTAATATTAACGATGCAAAGGAACTCAAGTCAAGCTCAGTAAACCAAGGCCTAAGTATCATCAGAAAAAGGCCCACAACCACAACGTCGTCTGACCTCTGAAAGTCTACTCCATCAATGAATAAGCAGCCGACGACATTCCTCCTAGAGTGGGGGCATTTGTGGATTTGTTGTTGGCTTATCTGATCTTGGAAGCCAACCCAAGTTCATGTATAAGAGTCTAGCTATTGTGGCTGTGAATGTGACTTTTCATTTACAGGTTATGTTGTGTGAGTTTTCTCACTTATGTTGGCTTAGCATTTTGTTCTCTCTGTTAACTTTACTTGGGAGTTAGAGCAACCTAATGTTTTAAACTACATTGTTTTTTCATAAAATTCTTCTTTTCGTAATGTCAATGTTTATAAGTCCTTTTAAGATCTCTATATCGTATTTTTGTTTGCTTTGACTTTGTTTATACGAAAGATTTGTTCAATCTGGCAGTAACATGTTTCAAGTGATATTGTAGATAACATTTGCTACTTTTTTGGTAGAAAATTCGATTTTAATGCTGATGTGAAAAAGAATTTCAGATATAAAAAGAAAAGTGAGCAAATTGCATGAATGACTATGTAAACACCTTGATTAGCGACTTTCTATGAGAAATTCAGATTAAATATATATATCAACTATCAAGGCATATTTCAAGTAAATGGATTTGGTAAGAGGTTTCTTGGCTGCATAGCAGCACCAAAAGTGTTGCGTGCAATGTACGTCAGAGAGAACCAGAGGAAGAAGCTGAGATACATTGTTCCAGTCTCTCACTAAAACCTGTCTTTGACCACCTTGATTAGCGACTATGTAAGAGAAACTCAGATTAAAAATAAACACTTATTTCACAAAACTCAGATGAAGGGGAAAAGGAGATCACCATTTTAAAGGATTTTCATTGATTAAAACCATTATTCTGCTGATGCCCATTTCTTTATATCCAGTTCTTCTCATTGAATTCTGTACAAAAGACCACTCCAGATGTTTAACAAACTTGTCGCTTTTGCAGCCAATATGGCACATAAACGCCTAACCAAGACTATATAGTGTCTAAGATGTGGAATCAGAGGAGACAGTGAATCATTACCTTGTTCTAATTAATTCCCATTTGCAAGTGTTATTAAAAATAATAATTTCTTGAAGAATCTAAACTTTTAAAAAGTAGAACATATAATCAATCTACAAAAATGAAAAGACTAAGGGAAAAAAAGTAAAAATAACCAAAAGAATAAGTGTTTTTAGGAAAAATATATACTGAGAAAGTTCTTCTTAATTAGCTCTTTATGAAGACTTCCTTTGAGGTTAACACAACAAGTAACTTTCGATGGAAGAAAAAGATAATCTCATTAAAAAAAAACCTGAAAACAGAGACATTCTTTAGCAATGTCATATGTTGAAGATGGTTGTTTTGTTACATGGCGATCTCTATTACTTTCTAAGAATTTAAACCTATGGACTGATTCCTCCTGACTTGAGACTAGAGAGTATAGCTGATGTGAACGTTAATCTTTATTATCACTGTAGCCTCACTTCCTCTTTTGAGCTGTTTTAGGATTCTTATGATTTCTTGATACTAGTGCTCATTCGGAAGGAAGGTCCTGAATCTTCAAAATCAAATGCATAGTTTTCAATTTTATTATGTTCTTGAATTGCTTCTGGAAATGCAACTACCTAATAAAATAATAGTAGAGCAAGTATCTGAACTAATAATCACAACCTCCTTTTTTAACTGCAAAAGATAGATGTGGCTGAACAGAGAGGAACGACGAAAGACACTTCAGCACCAAAAGAGTTTCTTGCAGTGTACGTCAGAGAGAACCAGAGATATACATTGTGCCACTCTCTTACTTGAACCAGCCTTTGTTTTAAACTCTTATCAGTAACGACAAGGAAAGAATTTAGGTTTAATCATCCGATGGCAGCTTGAAGATCCCTCTTCCTGAAGATACTTTTCTCACTGTTACTTCTCACATTCCAGATTAGAAATTTAAGTCATGATTCTTCTTGCTTGCTAAACCAAGCATATATATATATACTCCTCTTTTGCGAGTTGGTGATGTTGCTTGGCGTCAAAGAAACAACAAATCCACTCCAACGTAGTCAAGCAAAAGAATCATCAGCATTAGAGCAAAGACCAAGCAAAGTCATTATTGTACCAGAGGAAGCCATTCATCGGAGAAAATTAAAAAACCAATATTGAAAAAAATAATATTAAAATTTATATAAATCCTGGTTAAAGCCCATGCTTCTTGGGCCTTAATTATATTAGGGTTAACGCCGACCTAGAATGAGATTAATTTCTATCATCTAATTAAGATCCAGAGTCTGCGTTTTGCCATTTCTTGTTCGTTAAGCAAATTAATATACAACGATCATGCATAGAGGAGAAAACTCAGACTCCATCCCTAATGATCTCATTCCTGAGATACTTTCGAGATTGCCAGCAAAGTCAATTGCTAGGTTTCGATGCGTGTCAAAGCTATGGAAGTCCATTATCTACCGTCAAGATTTCACCGAGTTGTTCCACACAAGGTCCTCATCTAATCCACGTCTCTTAATTGGGGTCGAACAAGACGGTGTGTGGAGCTTCTTCTCCTCTCCTCAGCCTCAGAATCATTATGAAAAGTCGTCTCTTGTAGTAGCCGCCGATTTTCATATGAAGTCGTCTGAAGACAGAATCCTACACTATTGTAGCTATGCTTCTGGTTTGATCTATTTCACTGATTTGCAGATCTCAAAAGATGGGTTTGATAATGTGATATGTAACCCTAGCACGGGACAATTTGCGATCTTACCACCTGACCTGACAACGTACAGAAACTTCGGCGGCCTTTTGGGGTATGATCCGATTGGCAGGCAATTCAAGGTTTTGGTCCATAACCCTAAAATCGACGATGAATTGGTTTATCATATTCTGACATTAGGAACTGAAAATGTGAAGTGGAGGGAGATAAAATTTCCCTTATTCTCTGATCTTTCTTCGGAAATGATATGCATCAATGGTGTTTTGTATTACATAACTTTAGGTAGTCATAAAAATATAGGTTGCTTTGATGTTAGGTCTGAGAAATTTAAGTTTTTATATGCAAACCCAGATTACTTTTATAATTGGTCTAGAAAATTGTTAAACTATAAGGGTAAATTAGGTGTGACTAAAATGGAAAATGATTATGAAGGTGGATTTCCCCTTAAGTTGCGTATGTGGGTTCTAGAGGATGTCGAGAAAGAGGAATGGACGACATATTCCTACACTGTGAGGGCTGAGAATTTAATCAAGGATAATGACTATATTTGTGTTGTTGGGGCGACTGCTTCAGGTGAAATTGTTTTGGCGAAGTTGAATGCGTATAAACCGTTTTATGTTTTCTACTTTAATCCCGAAAAGAACACTCTCCTAAGCGTTGAAATCCAAGGTGTTGGAAAAGAGAAAGAAGGGTTCGATCATCATAGCGTTTACTACTTTGTAGACCATGTAGAAGATATTAAGTTTGATGTTATGAAGAAAACATATGCTGCAACATCGATAAGCTAGCCCACGAGCACATCAACATCATCTACAAAAGATCATCAAGTGAGGATCGGTGCTCACCTGAAACAAGATATTCTTATGTTTGAGAGCGCTAACAAATTTAATGATCTGTCTCTTTTAGATGATGATGAATTTACAGGTTTTAAAACATGATTGTTTCCCTTGCTTGCCAAGTCATCTTAAAACTTTTTATTCGATGCAAGTTGTTTTCTCTGTGTAACATTAAATTCTTAAGAAATTTATGTTTTTATTCAAGTCTGAGCTATGGCTGAAGTTTTCTTCATAGTATTTAAGTATCACTTCTCATTTATAGGTTTCTCGTAACTTAGGAGCAAACTAATATTTTATAGACAGAATGCTATATATATACTCGACAGCTTTACTTTGGCTCTTCTATCATTTCCTCTAACTGGCTGAAGAATCGTATTCATTCCGTTTCTCAACATTGTATCTTAGGGTATGTAATCCAACTTCAATTTATAAAAGAAAACCGTTTCACAAAAAAAAAGATCATCATTTGAAGAAAAAACTTTACATGTTTTCTTCTTTCTTAATGAAAGATGAACAATTCTTGGGTTCACCCCTAGGGGTGAACCTATGTATTCACCTCTTTTGTTTTTAACCAATGTTGGACCCCGAGGGTAGAAATTTCAATGTAAATACGCTTTTATGTAACAACGAACGATGGAATCAATCAAACGGATGATCCATTTGTTATATATTGTAAAGTCCAAAACCTTTTTCATGTTTCTACAGAATTAAAGAATCATAACCAAATAAATAACATTGTTTTGTCTTTGCCGCAGAGGAAAGGCTCAAATTCAAGTTTATTGACGGTGAATCCTTTTTTATTGGCCTATTAACTGATTTTTTGGAATTATGCTTCTGATAATGGTCGAAATCCTTGTTTGCTTCTCTTTTAAATTTCTTCTTAAATAGCTTATATGAGCTACATGTAACAAAAACCAAGTTTATTATCTTGTCTTAAATAAACCATATATATCCTATATATATAATTATATATAAATCATTGACTGCTTTAAATTTGAATACATGTAAGTGACAAGTTGTATATTTTATGGTTTAAGTCTTTAGACAGATATGTAGTATTGACCTAAACACCTAAGAACAAAGATGAACACAAAACAACTTCTTTATTTGCTTAGGAAAACTAACTCAAAAACCTAAGCTATACAATCTCAATCTCTCAAGTTTCACACACACAAAAACACAACACAATACAAACTATTTATAGGGGTTAGATAACTCCTAAACCGCCTTTACAATTAGGTCTTTGATAACTCCAAATCCTAAAACAAACCGACTTCTTTAAAACCCTTGAACACACCGACTTCAAGCTTTCTTGGGCCTCACGTTAATATTCAAACTTCAAGCTTAGCCCAACAATACTCCCCCTTAAGCTTGAAGTTGAATCCTAGCAACATCTTGGACACCAACAAGTTCACGCATCTCCTTAAATCTTATTCTTGCCAATGCTTTGGTTAGAATATCAGCCTTTTGTATCTCTCCGGGCACATGATCTACTTCCACAAGTTCCTTTTCTACACATTCACGGATAAAGTGGTATCTTTTATGAATGTGTTTACTCCGACCATGAAACATTGGGTTCTTGGTTAGAGCTATGGCGGATTTATTATCAAGTAGTATCAGCACCTTATTACTTAATCCTCCAATGACTTCTCCTAGAAGCTCCTGTAGCCACACTGCTTGTTTTGCAGCTTCTGTGGCAGCCATGAATTCAGCTTCACAAGAAGATAGAGCCACAGTATCCTGCTTCTGCGAGCACCAAGTAATAGGACATTCATTTAAGTAAAAGACATGACCTGTAGTGCTTTTGCCATCATCTTCATCAACATTGTGACTACTGTCACTGAAACCAATCAGTCTCTTCTCACTATTGCGAGTGAAATAAAGACCATACGATTGAGTTCCCTTTAAGTATCTCAGAATCTGTTTCAAAGCTGCTCCATGAGATTCCTTGGGCTCATGCATGTATCTACTCAAGACTCCAACACTATACGAAAGATCTGGTCGTGTGTGTAGCAAATAATGCAAACATCCTATGTTTCTCCTGTACTCCTTCTCATCAATTCCCTCTTCCCCTTTTGCTTTAGATAACTTCAAATTTGCATCCATGGGAATATGAACTACATTACAATCTAACATTCCTGTTTCCTCTAAGATTTTAGTGGCATATCTTTCTTGTTTCAGCATTATTCCTCCCTCATACTGAATTACTTCAATTCCCAGATAGTATGTTAGCTTGCCAAGATCACTCATTTCAAATTGTGCTGACATTCCTTTCTTAAACTAAAGTATCAACTCCAAACTTGACCCTGTAACAAGTAAGTCGTCTACATAAACTGCTACCACAAGTGATTCATCATTCTCTGTTTTCCGATACAGAGAAGGCTCTTTGGGGCATTTTATGAACTTCAGATCCATAAGAATTTTGCTCAGCTTGTTATTCCAAGCTCTAGGGGCTTGCTTGAGTCCATAGAGTGCCTTATTCAGCTTATACACCTTTTCTTCACTTCCTTCTTTCACAAATCCTTCTAGTTGCAGAACATATACATCTTCTTTTAATTCTCCATGCAGAAAAGTTGTTTTAACATCAAGATGGTGCACTTCCCATCCATTAGAGGCTGCTAACGCAATTATGAACCGAATAGTTTCTATACGAGCTACTAGAGCAAACACTTCATCATAATCAATGCCATGCCTTTGAACATATCCTTTTGCAACAAGACGTGCCTTGTGCTTATTAATGCTTCCATCCGAGTTTCTCTTGATTTTAAACACCCATTTCAGTCCTATTGCTTTTGCACCAACCGGAAGTTCAACTAGATCCCATGTTTTATTCTTTTCTATAGAAGAGATTTCTTCTACACACGCTTCTTTCCATTTTTTTAGAATCTTTGGCTTCATTGTAGTCCCATGGTTCATCATTTATCACTAATAAAAGTCTTTCACATTCAATTTCTGCCAAAAGAACATAGTCTTTTAAGTAGCTCGGCCTTGTGACTTCTCTCCCAGACCTTCTTAAAGTTACTTGTGGTTGTGCTTGGTTTTCTTCAGAAATTTCTGTGCTTGGTTGTGTTTTAGAGATTACCGTGATCTCTTCTGTAGGTTCTGTTTCATCATTCTCTTTCTCAGTGTTTTCTGCTTCCTCTAGGATATTGTCTTCTCTTATCCCATTATTTCCAAACTCACCAAGGCATACACTGAACATTCTTGGTTCACTATTTTCTTCATGATCACTGTTATTCCACTTCCAGCTTTTATTTTCATCAAACACTACATCCCTGCTAACTATGACTTTCTTCCTTGATGGATCTAATAGCATGTATGCTTTTGATCCGGGTTCTGTACCAAGATGAACCAACATTCTAGAGCGATCATCAAGTTTCTTAAGGTGTGTAGACTCTGTTTTTGCAAATCCAATGCAGCCAAAGTGTGCAATATTTGGTTTCTTAGACTTAAAGACTTCATATGGAGTTTGTTTTATCAAAGTTCTTGTTGCCACCCTATTGATAAGATATGTAGCATGCCTCACAGCCTCTCCCCATAGATAGTTTGGTACGTTCATATGTTTCATGATACTTCGTGTCATTCCCATCAAGGTTCTATTTCGCCGTTCTACTACCCCATTCTGTTGAGGTGAGTATGGAGCAGTTAAGTGTCTCTTGATACTTGTACTGTTACAAAATTCTTGAAACTCTTGTGATAAGAACTCACCACCTCTGTCTGTCTAGAAAGTTTTAATGGATGCTCCAGTTTCTTGTTCTATGCAGGCTTTTAAATCTTAAATTTCTTGAATGCTTCTCCTTTTTCTCTCAGAAGAACAGACCACATGTATCTTGAGTAGTCGTCAATAAGCACAAATATGTATCTATTTTGTGCTGCTGTTGGAGGTGTAATAGGACCACAGAGGTCTCCGTGTATTAATTCAAGAATACTTGTTGCCCGAAACAGAGTTGCTTGAGGAAATGACTGCCTAACTTGCTTACCAAGAAGACATGAGCTACAAGTTTCTTTTTCAATGCCTATTTTTGGTAATCCTGCAACTATCTCATTTTGCATCATTGTTTTCATGGTGTCTACTCCAATATGTCCAAGTCTTGCATGCCACAGTCTTGAATCATTTGAAACTATAAGTTTGTAGACATTTTGAGTTTTCTACTTCCATGACTACTTTGTAGAGTCTGTTTTTAGATCTTTTTGCATGTACTAGTAGATTACCATTCTTGTCTGATAAAGTCAGATTATCTTTTCTCATGTGAACATCACATCCGGCTTCTGTAGCCTGTCCAAGGCTTATTATATTGCTCCTTAACTCTGGTATGTAGTATACATCAGATAAAGTTCTTCTTTCTCCATTCTTTGCTACAAAAGTGATTGATCCTTTCCCTTCTATATTAATACGAGAATCATCTCCAAATCTCACTTTTCCTGTAATTGTTTGGTCAAGTTTTGAGAAAAAGCTCAGTTTTCTAGTCATGTGATTACTTGCTCCGTTATCCAAATACCATAAGTTCTCAATATCAGAATTTGTCTCAAAGATACTTGGCATAACATTCCTTTCGTTTAGAAATACAACTTCATGCATCATCAATGCATCAGCAGTTTGTGTATCTTCAGTCTTATTTTCTTGTGCTTCTTGGAGCTTAAGTAGTCTATCTGGACAATCAGAAGCATAGTGACCTAGTTTATCTCATCTATAACATGTGATTTTACTCGCATCTCTGTATCCACTATTGTTCTGTTGATAGTTATTTCCCTGTGAATTTCCAAACCTACATCTACCTCTTCCTCTTCCATAAAATCTTCCACCTTGACCTCTTCCTCTGTTTGCAAACCAGTTATTTTGAGGGTTTTGAGTTTCAGAACTTGCATATAACAGCTTTGCTTGATCATTAGGATTATCTTCTTCATCACATATTCTTTCCTCATAAGCCTTTAACCTTCCGACTATATCTTCAAAGCTTGTTGCATTGAGATCTAGTACTTGTTCAAGTGCGGCAATAATATGTATATATTTCTTTCGAGGTAGGCTATTTAGAAATTTCTTTACAAGTTTTGATTCTTCAAAGTTACTTCCAAGATCAGCTGCTTTAGTAGATAACTCAGAGATTCTCCCTGCAAACTCATCAATCTTTTCTGAATCTTTCATCTTGATTCTCTCAAATTCTCCCATAAAAGTTTGTAATCTTGCATCTTTTACTCTGTCTGCACCTAGATTTCTAGATTTAATGGCATCCCTTATTTTCTTTGCGCTATCAAGTTTACCAACCTATAAGGTTAGAGCTTCAGGGATGGATTGAAGAAGAAGCACACTTGCCATATTGTTTTTATCAACATCCGTTGATCCTGGTTCAACTGCTTCCCATGCTTTGTGAACTTTAAGGGCCATAGTCATACGTATTGTCCAAAAAGTATAGTTGGTTGAGTTGAGCATCGTACACTTAATCGCAGAGGAACTCCCTCCGTCTTTGTCTGTAAACCGGAACCAATTCTCCCATGGTTCTTATATGAATCACCTACTCGTGATTCGTATTTGTTCTCTGTGTTTGGATCAGTTATTAGGCTCTGATACCAATTATTGACCTAAACACCTAAGAACAAAGATGAACACAAAACAACTTCTTTATTTGCTTAGGAAAACTAACTCAAAAACCTAAGCTATACAATCTCAATCTCTCAAGTTTCACACACACAAAAACACAACACAATACAAACTATTTATAGGGGTTAGATAACTCCTAAACCGCTTTTACAATTAGGTCTTTGATAACTCCAAATCCTAAAACAAACCGACTTCTTTAAAACCCTTGAACACACCGACTTTAAGCTTTCTTGGGCCTCACGTTAATATTCAAACTTCAAGCTTAGCCCAACATGTAGTAATTGCTACCATCAATGATTTTTAACAAGTTGCTACGAGCCAAGCAGCAAATACTCATTGATGATGTTGCTTGGCGTCAAAGAAAACAATTTAGATGGTTGAAGCCCACGCTTCTTGGGCCTAGGTTAGCGCCGACCATAAATGAGATCTAATTAGGTCGAATTTTAAGAGATTTGTATTCATATCTCTTTCTCTCCGTCCGATAATAACGACTATCATGAATAGAGCAAACTCAGATTCCATCCCTAATGATTTGCTTTACGAGATACTCTCGAGATTGCCTACAAAGTCAATCGCTAGGTTTCGATGCGTGTCGAAGCTATGGGAGTCCATTATTTGTCGTCAGGATTTCACCGAGTTGTTCTACACCAGGTCCTCATCTAATCCACGTCTCTTAATTGGGATTCATCATGACGGTGAATGGAGCTTCTTCTCGACGCCTCAGCCTCAGAATCATTATGGGAAGCCGTCTCTAGTTGTAGCCGCCGATTTTCATATGAAGTTCTCCAAAGACATAAGCCCATGGTATTGTAGCTATGCTTCTGGTTTGATCTATTTTCCTAATATGTGCATCCCAAAGGAAGATAAAGATACAAAGCGTGTGTTATGTGACCCTAGCACGGGACAATATGCGATCTTACCACCTGACATGAGAACAACGAACAACAGTAACTACCATGACTTTTTAGGGTTTGATCCGATTGACAAGCAATTCAAGGTTTTGGTCTTTAACCATACAGTCGATGACAAATTGGTTTATCATATTGTGACATTAGGAACTGAAAATTTGAGGTGGAGGGAGATCATATGTCCCTTAACCTATGGTTATTGTTGGGAACATATATGCATCAATGGGGTTTTGTATTACCTAGCTTTTGACCCTAATAAAGAGCATGATATGATAGGTTGCTTTGATGTTAGGTCTGAGAAAGTCAAGTCTCTAAATTTAAACCCAGACTGCTTTCGTAATTGGTCTACTAAATTGATAAACTATAAGGGTAAATTAGGTGTTATTAATTTGGAGGATGATTGTGATGGTAGATTTCCCCTTAAGTTACGTATGTGGGTGCTAGAGGATGTCGAGAAACAGGAATGGACTACAAATTCCTACACTTTGAGGGCTGAGAATAAAGTCGTTAAATATCGTCAAAACTTTACGTTGTTGGAGTGACTGCTTCAGGTGAAATTGTTTTGGCGAAGGGAAATGTATACAATCCGTTTTATGTTTACTACTTTAATCCCGAAAAAAACACTCTCCTAAGTGTTGAAATCCAAGGTGTTAGAGAAGGGGAAGACTGGTCTAACATTCATAGAGTTTACTACTTTGTAGATCATGTAGAGGGTCTTCAGTTTGATGTTATGAAGACAACATATGCTGCAACATCTATAAGCCCACTAGAACAGAGCACATCAACATCATCTAGAGAAGATCATCAAGTGAGGACCCTTGCTCACCAGAAAGAAGATCGTCTTACGTTTGAGAGTGTTAACAAATTTGATGCTCTGAGTCTTTTAGAAGATGATTAAAATTTAGGAAAAATTGGATATAAAGGACAAATAATTAAACTATTGTCCATATATGCATTCTATATTCAAATGTCACATATTCCTAATCTACCCTTTGTAATTGATTTAACCAATTTTTCAAATAAAATTCAGAATAGTTTGTAGGCAAATGATAAAAAAAATCATGGGGATACATATAAAATAGAAAATATATCGTTTTTGTTACCGTTTTGGATGAATAAAATATGATCTACGAAGTTTAGACTACGTCTTCTGAATTTAGAATGTGTATTTTATACATTGTACATGTTCTATAAAATTTAGATAATGTATTCTATGCACTCTACATGTTCTAGAAAATTTAGAACGCATTTCTGTTCTACGGTATTTAGAATGCTAAATTCTACGAAATTTAGAATACATATTCTATACTTTGCTCTTTCTTCTAGAAAAATTAGAATATGTTTTCTAACATTTACCCTTGTTCTAAAATTGTTAGAAAACACATTCTTATATTTTTCTATATATTCTACAAAAAAATAGAAATCAAATTCTATGTAATTAGAATTTTTTTTTAAAAATGAAAATAAATTATAAAATCTGGAAATCGAATATAAAAAGTTTAGATTATGAAACTAAATAAATTTTTTGTGGAAAATACGTAACATGAGTGAAACGTGTTGCTTTACTTATACAAAATACAAAATACATAATATAACCAAATTCAATTATAAACTAACAAAAGTACCACATTTGTGGAAAATTGTGGCTTACTATAGGCGTAATATTTCAAAATGACTAACGTAAAAGTGAATTGACATGTAAAAAAGTTGCATAAATCATTGTGTCTGTTTTTCACTCAATCTCTATTATATTAGAATCTAGCTTGTGGAGGTTCATACTTTGCCATTCGGTCATGAATACATGAGAAGATGTTACTTCCCATAGATCAACTACATGCCTTTGACGTGCATGTATATGTTGACATCGTCCAACATATCGATGGGCAGTCCCAAAAGAAAAAAACAAAGAAGAAGTTGCCGTAAAGAAAATAGAAGAAGAAGATGTCGTAAAAAAAAGAACTAAAGCGGAAGAATATATAAAATTATCTACAAAAAAAAAAAGTAATTAAATAATATTTTTGTCATATATTTTCTCCAAATCATTTTTAGAAAGAAATCTAATTAATTTTAGAGTTTTATAGTTTAGCAAGATTTAACAAAAAAAACTGGGGATATAAATGGGGTTTTAATTATAACAAAACATATATGACTAATTAGAAATATAGAATGCATAGATGGACAATAATTTAATTATTTATCCTTTATTTACAGGTGTCAAAACCTGATTGCTTACAGTGGAAAAGTATTTTTATTTTGAATCTATCATTTTTCTCCCTTTTAGTTAATTTTAAAGTAAATTTTCCGTTAGGTTTTATTAAAAACAAATTGGACATAAATAACTGGATATAAAAGAAATCCGCTGTTTATTTTAGAAGAAATGATAGAGCGGCCACAAGATAATTTGTTAATCTAAAAAATAATTGTTTGCTTCATTGAAGGATGATCGTTTCTTTATTGATTCATTGGAATTATGGGAGGAAAAATGGCTTAGCTCTATGAGCTTTATGTAGCACACACCAAGTTTATTATCTTGTCTTATATAAACCCTATCCAATATAAATAAATCACTGACTGCTCTAAATTTGAATACATGTAAGTGACAACTTGTACATTTTATGGTTTATGTCTTTAGACAGAGATGTCGTAATTGCCACCATCAATAATTATAACAAATTAATACATCATTGATGATGTTGCTTGGCGTCAAAGAAAACAACAATCATTAGTATCAGAGATGAAAATTGAATCCAAAGACAAATGACATAATATGTTCGTAAGCAAAATCAATATTCTCAATGTTAATTAGGCTTGCAACATCCAATCATCAGAAGAATCGCTCAGAATTAATAAAATTATAACATATTTAGAGCCCACTGCCAAAAAAAAGCCCATGAATGATATATAATTAGGTCTAACTTTAAGAGATTGTATTCATATCTCTCTCTCTCCGTCCGATACTAAGCAAATACAACGACGATCATGAATAGAGGAGCAAACTTAGATTCCATCCCTAATCTAATCCACGTCTCTTAATTGGGGTCGAACAAGGCGGTGTGTGGAGCTTCTTCTCCTCTCCTCAGCCTCAGGATCTTTATGGGAAGTCGTCTCTTGTAGTAGCCACCGATTTTCATATGAAGTTTTCTGAAGACACAACCATATACTATCGTAGCTATGCTTCTGGTTTGATATATTTCCCTAACATGCGGATCTCAAACGAGAATGACGATGTAGTGCGTATGATATGTAACCCTAGCACGGGACAGTATGCAATCTTACCACTTGACTTGAGAACAGGGTACCAAGACGTAGGCGGCTTTTTAGGGTTTGATCCGATTGGCAAGCAATTCAAGGTTTTGGTCTTTAAACGTAGAGTCGATGATAAATTGGTTTATCATATTATGATATTAGGAACAGAAAATATGAGGTGGAGGGAGAACATATGTCCCTTAACCTATGGACCCTATGGTTATCGTTGGGAACATATATGTATTAATGGTGTCTTGTATTACATAGCTGCTGACCCTGATAAAGAGCATGATATGATAGGTTGTTTTGATGTTAGGTCTGAGAAATTCAAATTTGTACATCTAGCCCCATACTGCTTTCGTTATTGGTCTCCTAAATTGATAAACTATAAGGGTAAACTAGGTGTGATTAATTTGGAGGATGATTATTATGGAGGATTTTCCCTTAAGTTACGTATGTGGGTTCTAGAGAATGTCGAGAAACATGAATGGAGTACATATGCCTACACATTGAGGGCTGAGAATAAAGTCGTTAAGGTTAGTCAAAATCTGTCCGTTATTGGAGTGACTGGTTCGGGTGACATTGTTTTGGCGAACCATAATTTATATAAACCGATTTATGTTTTCTACTTTAATCCCGAAAGGAACACTCTCCTATGTGTTGAAATCCAAGGTGTTAGGGAAGAGGAAGAATGGTTTAAAAATCATAAAGTTTACTGCTTTGTAAACCATGTAGAGGATCTTAGATTTGATGTTATGAAGACAACATCTATAAGCCCACCAGAACAGAGCACATCAACATCATCTATCTAGAGAAGCTCATCAAGTGAGGACCGTTGCTCACCTGAAACAAGATCGCTAAACGTTTTAGAGCGTTAACAAATTTGATGCTCTGTGTCTTTTAGAAGATGATTAAAATTTACAGGTGTCAAAACCTGATTGCTTACCTTGCACCCCAAGTCAGCTGAAAGCTCTCTATATGATGCAAGTTGTATTCTCTCTTTGTAACCATTAAAAAAATCAAAGAATTTCTTAATTAAAAATTTATGTTTCTACTACGAATCTACCAATTTTATATAAAGTCATTAACGCTGAGGATTTAAAAGAAGTAACGGCCTTTGGAACTGTCTATCACGTGAGTGCTAGATATGTTGCAATCAAGTGAATATAAAGGAGGTCGAAGTTCTTACCAACAGAGATCTGTGATCTTGTTTGGTCGGTGACACATCAAGATTCATACTTATAATAATGAACCGAAAGATCAAGAAAGATTTTCAGATTTGATCACTAATACTGTCAAGTCCAAAAGATATTTCATGTTTCAACATAATTTAGAGAATCATAATCAAATAAAAAACTGGAGTAGAAAAACATTGTCATTTCTACAATTGCAACAGTTTATGTAATCAAGCATACATAAATGCCTCTGCCTCAGTTTCAGGACCATCTAAATCTGCTCTATAAGCAACAGTCACAACCTCTGCCATAGACTTTACAAGCCAAACCCACGGGACCTTGCCGTATGAAGCAGACTATTCCTTTTGCTACGCTCTTGAACCAAAAACGGACCTACCCAAAATATCTAGCCACCTTTCACTTTTTGTTCTTAAGATCAACCTCGGAACTCAATTTTTCTTGTAAACTTCAGACTTTTCGGCTGCGTTTAATAAGAATCTCTCTGTGTATCTCTAAACCTTTACTTTATAAATATTGTGTTCAAAAGGTTAAAACCAAAGAGGTTAGAGTTTCATATTGAAAGGGATACACAATTGTTTAGCTTTTAGAAATTAGAAATGTATCAGATGAACAAAAAATAAAGACGTCTAAGGAACAAAAGAAGGAACCAAAATAAAGACCTCTAGACTTTATTTATCATCTAGACTTCATTAATATGTATCCACATCTTGGAGAGCAGTATCTATAGCCACTTTGACAATCTTCAAGTTGAACAGACCATGATTCTTAATGCTCTCTTCCTAATAGTCTGCAAGTTCCGAATAGAGACGAATCCAGTCATTGACTTGCAGCTCTGAACTACACTACTACTTGTTGATCATGAGCAAAATTGTAAAACTCACCGCAAAATTGTGGTCTTAATCTTACAACGTTAATATTGCTTTGTATCCATGAGGAAGAAGTTTTTCCCCAAGCCGCTTCTCTTGATTTCACCTATGGTTTCCCCTATACAAGATATAACATCAGCAATGAGACTAATGATTTAGCAAGATGTATACACCATAAATATTTTTTGCAAATTCCAGTAAAAGTTAGATTTCTATTATTCTCATAACATTCATAATTCTAAAAAAACTTGGGGAAAAATGAAACAGCAAGCTACCATAGAATATTATTTAGTAAAATATCTTCGAAATCTTTCCTTAGAAAATAATCTCTCTGCTGAAAAAAGAAAAGAAAACAATTTCTTTACTCAAAAATTGAAATCTATAATATTTAGAAATTTTCAAGAAAAATACATACATTACCTTATAAAGAAAAATTTGGAGGAAACCAAGTTAATGCAAATCAATGATAATCCATCAAAAATTTTGAAAAGAAATCAATGACACATTTGGTAAAAATCCACTTTTAAAATCAATAACTCTTCACAAATTCATTTCCCAATAACCCCTTAAAGAGATTTTCCATCTCTATATATATATATGAGAGACTCTTCGATGAATCTGTATTCATATATATATCTCTCTCTCTCATGAATAAGACGATCATGAATAGATTAGCAAACTCAGATTCCATTCCTACTGATCTTATTTACGAGATACTCTCGAGATTGCATGCAAAGTCAATTGCGAGGTTTCGGTGCGTGTCGAAGCTATGGAAGTACATGCTTTGCCAGCCATATTTCACCAAGTTGTTCCACACCAATTCGTCGTCTAACCCACGTCTCTTAATTGGGGTCGTACAAGGTGGTGAGTGGAGTTTCTTCTCGTCGCCTCAGCCTAAGAATCATTATGAGAATTCGTCTTGTGTAGTAGCCGCCGATTTTCATATGAAGTTTTCTGAAGATAGAATCCAACACTATTGTAGCTATGCTTCTGGTTTGATATATTTCGCTAATATGCGGATCTCAAAGGACGATGAAAATGAAGTGCGTGCGATATGCAACCCTAGCACGGGACAATATGCAATCTTACCACCTGACCTGAAATCAACGCTCAGAAGCTGCAACGGCTTTTTAGGGTTTGATCCGATTGGCATGCAATTCAAGGTTTTGGTCCTAAACCGTAGAGTCGATGGTGAATTGTTTTATCAAATTCTAACATTAGGAACTGAAAATATGAGGTGGAGGGAGATCGAATTTCCCTCCTTCTCTGGTCTTGTTTCGGAAATGATATGCATCAATGGGGTTTTGTATTACATTAATCATAAAACTATAGGTTGCTTTGATGTTAGGTCTGAGAAATTCAAGTTTCTAAATCAAAACCCAGACTGCCTTACTAGTTGGTCTACTAAAATGATAAACTATAAGGGTAAATTTGGTGTTATTAATTTGGAAGATAATTATGCTCGTGGATTTCCCCTTAAGTTGCGTATATGGGTTCTAGACAATGTCGAGAAACAAGAATGGACGACATATGCCTACACTTTGAGGGCTGAGAATATAGTCAAGGATAAAAGCTATATTTATGTTGTTGGGGTGACTGCTTCAGGTGAAATTGTTTTGGCAAAAATGAATGCATATAAACCGTTTTATGTTTTTTACTTTAATCCCGAAAAGAACACTCTCCAAAGTGTTGAAATCCAAGGTGTTAGAGAAGAAGATGAATGGTTTTACGATCATAGAGTTTACTACTTTGTAGACCATGTCGAGGATCTTAGGTTTGATGTTATGAAGACAACGTATGCTGCAACATCGATAAGCCCACCAGAACATAACACATCAACATCATCTAGAGAAGATCATCAAGTGAGGACCGTTGCTCATCGTCATAGATTTGAGAGCGTTAACAAATTTGATGCATTGTGTCTTTTAGAAGATGATTGAAATTTACAGGTATTAAAACCTGATTGCTTACCTTACTCCTCAAGTCAGCTGAAAAAGCTCTCTATTTGATGCAAGTTGTATTAGTATATATTCTCCCTCTGTAAACATTCATAAGTTATAGTAAAAAAATTCTAAGGAAATTATGTTTCTAACTTTCTATTAAGATTCTGTCAATTTTGATTTTACGTTTTTAGTCACTAAGACTGATGATTTAAAATAAGTTAATATTGTCCTTTTGCATTGTTTATCATGCACAAATATGTTGCAATCAAGTGAATCAAAAGGAAGTTCTTAACAAGAGAGATCTGAGAGTTATTTTTTTTTTATCCATGACGTATCAAGATTCATAATTTTCGTACTTAAACCATTTGTTCATGCTATGAGATCAGATTAGAGATTCTTCTTTCTTTCTCTTTGGAGGCATTTTACTTAATTTGGACTCCTGAAAAGAAAAGTAAACGACTTGGATTAGCGACTGTGTAAGAGAAACTCAGATTAAAAAATGATAATTAACATTGTCATTTCGACAATTGCAACAGTCACATCTGCTATGGAAACTGTCACATTAAACATAGCAAAACTAGTGACTGACACTGCACCAAATCTTGACTTTAGCCCTTCTTATACGGCAACTACTACAACTTCAGAGAATCATCCTCTGGTTTTGATGGAAACTGCAGCCACGACAGAGCCATTAGTATAATAATATATGATGATAACATGAGAAAAACTCACAGTAAAAATCAAACTATCTTGATGACACTTATCATAATCTATGAAAGACCATTGGGAACTTTTAAGTGATCCCTCCTTTTTTATATATATATATATTCCAAAGGGACAAGTAAATCACCTTGACTTGCAACGAGTTTTAGCAAAAAATTGGATTGAAATTAATAAATATGATCCTGAAAGTAAAAATCTATGATACTTTATACAAGTTATTAACATCCTCGCCAAATAAAGATGGAATATTATATTTAATAACAAGACGTATATTATATTTATATACAGATCTGTTACATAAATCTCATGCACCAACAATCTATGTTCTTTTATATAGCGATTGATTTCAAATAAACCGAGTCAAAATACCAGCAAAAGAGATTTTGGACAAGCACAACTTCTCCATCGCCACTTCTAGTTGCAACTAAGAACTTGAATTTAGGGTTTGAATTCTTCCTCGAATCGGTTTTTTTTGTTTCCCACTAACTTTGAGTTAACCATTCAAACTTTCCGTTTACGTTGTTGACTAGTCTGAGCTCAATTTAGTGTGATAAACTATAAGTTGGGAATTTAGTTTGTTCACACAAAAATTCAGGTTTTTGTAGGCAAATTTGTAAAATCCAAGCTTTACAAGACTCAGTTCCAACACTAAAGAAGCCGCCGGAGTCGGTCAACGAATCTAGTGTATAAGAAAGCTTGGAGGAGAGAGGTTGGAAAGAAACTAGGGTTTTCTCCGTTTTGAAGATAAAACAAGGGTCACCGGACCAAGTGTAGGTAGCTCGGATGGTTATCGGATCCGTTGGTAATGATAACTAATAACGTTGAGTCTGATCCCTGGTTCGAACCTTGCTTGGGAGGGGCTGATGATTTACCTGGATGGATAAGTCTAAATTAGATTGTCTAAGAAAGTCAATAAAAAGATTTTATACAAATTCGGACGCTTATACAAAGAGTCTAATTAGGTCGAACTTTAAACGATTTTCCATATCTATATATACATCACTTAACATAATTAAATTAGGTCGAACTTTAAGAGACTTTTCTCTGCGATTTTTATTCATAAATCTTCCTCCGTCCGACCAGACCTAATACAATCGATCATGAATAGAGGAGAAAACTCAGATTCTATCCCTATTGATCTCATTCTTGAGATACTCTCGAGATTGCCTGCAAAGTCAATCCAGAGGTTTCGCTGCGTGTCGAAGCTATGGAAGTCCATGCTTAGCCAATCATATTTCACAGAGTTGTTCTTGAACAAGTCCTCATCTCGCCCACGTCTCTTATTTGTGGTCAAACAAGACAGCGACTGGCTTTTCTTCTCGTTACCTCAGCCTCAGAATCTAGATGAGAAGTCGTCCCTTGTAGTAGCCGATTGTCATATGAAGTTCTCTAAAGACATAAGCCCATACAATTGTACCTATGCTTCTGGTTTGATCTATTTTCATAATATGGATAATGATGCAGTACGTGTGATATGTAACCCTAGCACAGGACAATATGCGATCTTACCACTACCTGAAAGGAGAACGCACAGACATTCGTATAGCTATTTAGGGTTTGATCCAATAGACAAGGAATTCAAGGTATTGTTCATGAATACTAGTAAATTTATAGCTTCTAGTGATATAGATCATTATATTTTGACACTAGGAACTGGGAAATTGAGGTGGAGGAAGATCCAATGTCCTTTTACCCATAACCCTTTTTGGAATAGGATTTGCATCAATGGGGTTTTGTATTACTTAGCTCATTCTGAAAGAAAGTATTATGCGGTAGTTTGCTTTGATGTTAGATCTGAGAAATTCAAGCTCGTTGAACTACACCGTTTGGATTGCTGTCTTTATGGACTGATAAACTATAAGGGGAAATTATGTGGGGTTAATTTGAAGTATGCTTCTGATGGTGGATTTCCCCTTGAGTTACGTATGTGGGTTCTAGAGGATGTCGAGAAAGAGGAATGGACGACATATGCCTACACTTTGAGGGATGAGAATAAACTCGTTAAGGTTAACTACAATCTTTCCGTTGCTGGGGTGACTGCTTCAGGTGAAATTGTTTTGGTGGACCATAATACATGTAAACCGTTCTATGTTTTCTACTTTAATCCCAAAAGGAACACTCTCCAAAGTGTTGAAATCAAATTTTTTGGAGCTAAGGGTGAAGCGTTTAAGACTAGTTTCCTAGTTGACGCCTTTATAGACCATGCAGAGGATCTTAAGTTCCATATTAAGACGACAACATACGCTGCTTACCTGGAAGAAGATCATCGCACGCTTGAGATGTGTTAACAAATTTGATGGTCTGTGTCTTTTAGATGATGAGGAGTTTACTTACCTTCCTCACCAAGTCAGCTAAACAAGCTCTCTGTTTTAGACAAGTTATGTTCTCTCTCTGTAAGAATCAAGGTATCAAAAAAGTTTTTAGGAAATTAAGTTTTTATCAAAGTCAGAGTCATGGCTGAAGTTGTTGTCTTCATAATATTTATAACATAGAGTCTTAACTATTTTTCCTCTGAGTGAACACTTCTCATTTACAGGTTTCATGTGAGCTTTTATCAGTCTGTTGGCTTAGCATTTTGTGTTACACGTTAATTGGGAGCAAACTAATTTTTTTTATCTTTGACTTTCACGAAATTGCTAGATAATACCGGAAACAAGTGCTTAATTTTTAATCCCGAACTTGAACAAATCTCGTGAGAAAAATTGCATATCCAAAATGACCAAAAATGTAACAAGTTATTCTTATTTAATTTACTCTGTTTATTAACCCAAAACAACTAACTAAGCAAGGCTCTTGACAATTATGAAAAGCTTCATTTTCATGAGGAAGAGAACTCTTTCGTGAAAGCGGAACTGTAAAGCTTGGAGGGAACTTCTCTTCCGAGAAATACAATTAAAATGATAAGTTTCAATCACTATAAGTTAAGAACCAATTATTTGGGAAATCTCTTTGCATACAAAGTTGACACAATCATACAGCAATGATTCGGCTAAAAATAGGATTAAATAAGTGGACTAAGAAAATCTATCACATAAGAAATAAAATGATACTTACTTCGATTGGTACTTCGATGCATAGCCATTCTAAAACTACGGAATCATAAGCTGCAACGTGTTTAAAAGCCTTCAACAGTAGTTTTCTGCGGAAATGTTGGTTGATTTGGCCCCCTAAGATACTCCAATACTGAAGGATAATCTTCTGAATCGAAACAATTAAAACGTCATTGTTCTGTTCAATATATATCTTGTATCATAAATGGGTCTAACAAATCTTAGCAGCAGCTCTAATTATAGCAGGACCAATAATGTCAGTGTTGCGTTAAAGCAATTCCACCGGCAGCAGTAACTTTTTCATAAAGCGGATACAAATTGACAGCCACCACGTCAAATGTGCCTAGAATATAAAGAAATAGTTAAAATCTTGAGTACCTACGAGAAAGCATTAGGACAGTGCATAAACCTCACTAAGTCAACAATTACTTTCTCTGCTAAGACCCCGAGCGAAGCAAAGACCAGAGTTAAAAAGTCTCTCAACATTACTCGAGATGGAGGCCTAGGTAACTATCTTGGTCTGCCTGAGAATTTTCGTCGAAAAAAACGTGATATCTTTGCAGCCTTGGTTGATAAAGTAAGGCAAAGAGCTCATAGTTGGTCTTCCCGCTTCTTATCCGGTGCGGGGAAACATGTTCTTCTAAAAGCAATCCTCACTGCCTTACCAATCTACCCAATGTCGTGCTTTAAGATTCCCGCATCCCTTTGTAAGCAAATCCAATCCGTGTTCACCCGGTTTTGGTGGGATGACAAACCAGACAAAAAGAAGATGTGTTGGGTGGCTTGGGATACTCTTACTCAACCCAAATTTGCGGGAGCTCTTGGATTTAGAGACGTACAACAGTTCAATGACGCCTTATTAGCAAAAATTGGATGGAGACTTCTCAGTCAACCTGACTCAATGCTGGCTAAAGTTCTGTTGGGTAAGTACTGCAACAACTCTAGCTTCTTGGACTGCTCCTCTTCTCCAAGAGTGGCCTCACATGGTTGGCGCAGCATTCTCGTGGGCAGAGAGCTGTTGCGGAAAGGGCTAGGTTGGACAGTGGGTAATGGAGCCTGCATCAATGTCTGGACCGATCCATGGCTTTCCTTGCTTCACCCTACAGTTCCTATAGGCCCCCCAACCTCAGCTACTGCAGACCTAAAAGTACAAGACCTCCTCTGTCCAGATACAAATGACTGGAATGTCGAGTTTATTCGTCAGATTTTACCTCAGTATGAGGAAGCAATTCGCAATCTTATTACCAGTTCTGTTCCTTCAACAGATTCTCTGGTTTGGTTACCTGAAAAATCAGGATCTTACTCGACAAAATCGGGTTATCCTCTGGCAAAGCGGTTTCCACAGAAAAGTGTTTGTGAGAGTTTTGATTGGCATAAGCATGTCTGGCAGCTCAAGATTGCCCCTAAGCTAAAAAACTTCCTGTGGAAGTTGCTTTAGGGAGCCCTCTCTGTTGGTTCCAATCTGGCAAAGAGACACATCCAAAAATTCATACTTAACCATTTGTTCTCTGCTATGTGATCAGATAAGAGACTCTTCTTTCTTTAATTTCTCTCTGCAGTCATTTTACTTAATTTGGACTCCCAAAAATAAAAGGAAAACTTCGATTACCTACTTGAACCATCATATGAAGAAATTTTTTTTTTTATCATCTTTTACTCTAAACATATGACATATTTCATCTTTCTTAATGAAAGATTTGATCTAGAGGATAAAAATTCCAACGTAGTTAGACGTTACATATAGTAATGAACGATGGGAATCAAAAACTTACAAGCCAAACCCAAGGGACCTTGCTGTAAGAAGCAGAGTGTTTCCTTTTGATACGCTCTTGAACCAAAAACGTGACCTACCCAAAATATTTAGCTGCCTTTCACTTTTTGTTCTTAAGATCTATCTCGGCAACTCAATTTTCCTTGTAATCTTCGGACTTTTCGGCTGTGTTTGATAAGAATCTCTCGGTTTATATATCCTTAAACCTTTACTTTATAAACATTGTGTTCGACCTCTGGTTCACGGATTAAAACCAAAGAGGTTAAAGTTTCATATTGAAAGGGATACATAAATTGTTTATATTTTATAAATCAGAAATGTATCAAATGAACAAAAAATGAAGACGTCTAAGTATAGAAGGGACACTAGTTCATCTCATTCCTTTCTCAAAAGGATCCAAAAACTAGCAAAAAAAAAAGAGAGGAGTTTACATGATTTATCAGCCAACGCCACTATATTTGTATGCCTTGAGCCGTCCTAGGAATATATTAACAGCCCCCGTTTGAGACGCAGACGAAAGTTGCTCAGTAGATCTGCTCCTTAGTTACCCTTTTTGGTATAATTTCTAAACTCAGAGTCTAGCAAACAAGACTGAAGCATCCCATCTGCTCAGTGAAGGCTCTTCTGACTATAGCTACGCGATCAACATCCGTACCACATGAGTCTTTGTACGTTATGTAGACAATTGCAACATTTTTGCGGTTGAATTCCTCATACACATCAAGAATTATACTAAAGCCACTTTGACAATCTTCAAGTTAGACAGATCATGATTCTTAATTCTGCTCCTATTAGTCGTGGCAACTGCAAGTTCCAAGTAGCTCTGAATTATTCAGCTGCAATCGCAGCCGTAGTCGCAGTTGCTGGCGATTATGAAACGAACATAGGCATTACCTTATAAAAAAAAGTTATGGGAAAATCAATGATAATCCATAAAAATATTTGAATAGAAATCAATGACAAATATGGTAAAAATCTATAAAACATTTTAAGATCTCTCCACTTTTAAAATCAATAACTCTTCACAAATTCATTTCCCAATAAACCCCAAGCTATTTTCCATTTCTATATATATATATTTCAGAGTCTTCGATGAATCTGTATTCATGTCTCTCTCTCTCTCATGAATAAGACGCTCATGAATAGAGGAGCAAACTCAGATTCCATTCCTACTGATCTCATTTACGAGATACTCTCGAGATTACCTGCAAAGTCAATCCTTAGGTTTCGATGCGTGTCGAAGCTATGGAAGTCCATTATCTGCCGTCAAGATTTCACCGAGTTGTTCCACACAAGGTCCTCATCTAATCCACGTCTCTTAATTGGGGTCGAACAAGGCGGTGTGTGGAGCTTCTTCTCCTCTCCTCAGGCTCATGATCATTATGGGAAGTCGTCTCTTGTAGTAGCCGCCGATTTTCATATGAAGTTTTCTGAAGACACAACCATATACTATCGTAGCTATGCTTCTGGTTTGATATATTTCCCTAACATGCGGATCTCAAACGAGAATGACGATGTAGTGCGTATGATATGTAACCCTAGCACGGGACAGTATGCGATCTTACCACCTGACTTGAGAACAGGGTACCAAGAAGTAGGCGGCTTTTTAGGGTTTGATCCGATTGGCAAGCAATTCAAGGTTTTGGTCTATAAACGTAGAGTCGATGATGAATTGGTTTATCAGATTCTGATATTAGGAACTGAAAATATGAAGTGGAGGGAGATCATATGTCCCTTAACCTATGGACCCTATGGTTATCGTTGGGAACATATATGCATCAATGGGGTTTTGTATTACATAGCTGATGATCCTGATGAAGAGCATGATATGATAGGTTGTTTTGATGTTAGGTTTGAGAAATTCAAATTTGTACATCTAGCCCCATACTGCTTACCTAATTGGTCTACTAAATTGATAAACTATAAAGGTAAATTAGGTGTGATTAATTTAGAGGATGATTATGATGATGGTGGATTTTCCCTTAAGATAAGTATGTGGGTTCTAGAGAATGTCGAGAAACATGAATGGACTACATATGCCTACACATTGAGGGCTGAGAATAAAGTCGTTAAGGTTAGTCAAAATCTGTCCGTTATTGGAGTGACTGGTTCGGGTGACATTGTTTTGGCGAACCATAATTTATATAAACCGATTTATGTTTTCTACTTTAATCCAGAAAGGAACACTCTCCTATGTGTTGAAATCCAAGGTGTTAGGGAAGAGGAAGAATGGTTTAAAAATCATAAAGTTTACTGCTTTGTAAACCATGTAGAGGATCTTAGATTTGATGTTATGAAGACAACATCTATAAGCCCACCAGAACAGAGCACATCAACATCATCTAGAGAAGCAGAAGCTCATCAAGTGAGGACCGTTGCTCACCTGAAACAAGATCGCTAAACGTTTTAGAGCGTTAACAAATTTGATGCTCTGTGTCTTTTAGAAGATGATTAAAATTTACTGGTGTCAAAACCTGATTGCTTACCTTGCACCCCAAGTCAGCTGAAAGCTCTCTATATGATGCAAGTTGTATTCTCTCTTTGTAACCATTAAAAAAATCAAAGAATTTCTTAATTAAAAATTTATGTTTCTACTACGAATCTACCAATTTTATATAAAGTCATTAACGCTGAGGATTTAAAAGAAGTAACGGCCTTTGGAACTGTCTATCACGTGAGTGCTAGATATGTTGCAATCAAGTGAATATAAAGGAGGTCGAAGTTCTTACCAACAGAGATCTGTGATCTTGTTTGGTCGGTGACACATCAAGATTCATACTTATAATAATGAACCGAAAGATCAAGAAAGATTTTCAGATTTGATCACTAATACTGTCAAGTCCAAAAGATATTTCATGTTTCAACATAATTTAGAGAATCATAATCAAATAAAAAACTGGAGTAGAAAAACATTGTCATTTCTACAATTGCAACAGTTTATGTAATCAAGCATACATAAATGCCTCTGCCTCAGTTTCAGGACCATCTAAATCTGCTCTATAAGCAACAGTCACAACCTCTGCCATAGACTTTACAAGCCAAACCCACGGGACCTTGCCGTATGAAGCAGACTATTCCTTTTGCTACGCTCTTGAACCAAAAACGGACCTACCCAAAATATCTAGCCACCTTTCACTTTTTGTTCTTAAGATCAACCTCGGAACTCAATTTTTCTTGTAAACTTCAGACTTTTCGGCTGCGTTTAATAAGAATCTCTCTGTGTATCTCTAAACCTTTACTTTATAAATATTGTGTTCAAAAGGTTAAAACCAAAGAGGTTAGAGTTTCATATTGAAAGGGATACACAATTGTTTAGCTTTTAGAAATTAGAAATGTATCAGATGAACAAAAAATAAAGACGTCTAAGGAACAAAAGAAGGAACCAAAATAAAGACCTCTAGACTTTATTTATCATCTAGACTTCATTAATATGTATCCACATCTTGGAGAGCAGTATCTATAGCCACTTTGACAATCTTCAAGTTGAACAGACCATGATTCTTAATGCTCTCTTCCTAATAGTCTGCAAGTTCCGAATAGAGACGAATCCAGTCATTGACTTGCAGCTCTGAACTACACTACTACTTGTTGATCATGAGCAAAATTGTAAAACTCACCGCAAAATTGTGGTCTTAATCTTACAACGTTAATATTGCTTTGTATCCATGAGGAAGAAGTTTTTCCCCAAGCCGCTTCTCTTGATTTCACCTATGGTTTCCCCTATACAAGATATAACATCAGCAATGAGACTAATGATTTAGCAAGATGTATACACCATAAATATTTTTTGCAAATTCCAGTAAAAGTTAGATTTCTATTATTCTCATAACATTCATAATTCTAAAAAAACTTGGGGAAAAATGAAACAGCAAGCTACCATAGAATATTATTTAGTAAAATATCTTCGAAATCTTTCCTTAGAAAATAATCTCTCTGCTGAAAAAAGAAAAGAAAACAATTTCTTTACTCAAAAATTGAAATCTATAATATTTAGAAATTTTCAAGAAAAATACATACATTACCTTATAAAGAAAAATTTGGAGGAAACCAAGTTAATGCAAATCAATGATAATCCATCAAAAATTTTGAAAAGAAATCAATGACACATTTGGTAAAAATCCACTTTTAAAATCAATAACTCTTCACAAATTCATTTCCCAATAACCCCTTAAAGAGATTTTCCATCTCTATATATATATATGAGAGACTCTTCGATGAATCTGTATTCATATATATATCTCTCTCTCTCATGAATAAGACGATCATGAATAGATTAGCAAACTCAGATTCCATTCCTACTGATCTTATTTACGAGATACTCTCGAGATTGCATGCAAAGTCAATTGCGAGGTTTCGGTGCGTGTCGAAGCTATGGAAGTACATGCTTTGCCAGCCATATTTCACCAAGTTGTTCCACACCAATTCGTCGTCTAACCCACGTCTCTTAATTGGGGTCGTACAAGGTGGTGAGTGGAGTTTCTTCTCGTCGCCTCAGCCTAAGAATCATTATGAGAATTCGTCTTGTGTAGTAGCCGCCGATTTTCATATGAAGTTTTCTGAAGATAGAATCCAACACTATTGTAGCTATGCTTCTGGTTTGATATATTTCGCTAATATGCGGATCTCAAAGGACGATGAAAATGAAGTGCGTGCGATATGCAACCCTAGCACGGGACAATATGCAATCTTACCACCTGACCTGAAATCAACGCTCAGAAGCTGCAACGGCTTTTTAGGGTTTGATCCGATTGGCATGCAATTCAAGGTTTTGGTCCTAAACCGTAGAGTCGATGGTGAATTGTTTTATCAAATTCTAACATTAGGAACTGAAAATATGAGGTGGAGGGAGATCGAATTTCCCTCCTTCTCTGGTCTTGTTTCGGAAATGATATGCATCAATGGGGTTTTGTATTACATTAATCATAAAACTATAGGTTGCTTTGATGTTAGGTCTGAGAAATTCAAGTTTCTAAATCAAAACCCAGACTGCCTTACTAGTTGGTCTACTAAAATGATAAACTATAAGGGTAAATTTGGTGTTATTAATTTGGAAGATAATTATGCTCGTGGATTTCCCCTTAAGTTGCGTATATGGGTTCTAGACAATGTCGAGAAACAAGAATGGACGACATATGCCTACACTTTGAGGGCTGAGAATATAGTCAAGGATAAAAGCTATATTTATGTTGTTGGGGTGACTGCTTCAGGTGAAATTGTTTTGGCAAAAATGAATGCATATAAACCGTTTTATGTTTTTTACTTTAATCCCGAAAAGAACACTCTCCAAAGTGTTGAAATCCAAGGTGTTAGAGAAGAAGATGAATGGTTTTACGATCATAGAGTTTACTACTTTGTAGACCATGTCGAGGATCTTAGGTTTGATGTTATGAAGACAACGTATGCTGCAACATCGATAAGCCCACCAGAACATAACACATCAACATCATCTAGAGAAGATCATCAAGTGAGGACCGTTGCTCATCGTCATAGATTTGAGAGCGTTAACAAATTTGATGCATTGTGTCTTTTAGAAGATGATTGAAATTTACAGGTATTAAAACCTGATTGCTTACCTTACTCCTCAAGTCAGCTGAAAAAGCTCTCTATTTGATGCAAGTTGTATTAGTATATATTCTCCCTCTGTAAACATTCATAAGTTATAGTAAAAAAATTCTAAGGAAATTATGTTTCTAACTTTCTATTAAGATTCTGTCAATTTTGATTTTACGTTTTTAGTCACTAAGACTGATGATTTAAAATAAGTTAATATTGTCCTTTTGCATTGTTTATCATGCACAAATATGTTGCAATCAAGTGAATCAAAAGGAAGTTCTTAACAAGAGAGATCTGAGAGTTATTTTTTTTTTATCCATGACATATCAAGATTCATAATTTTCGTACTTAAACCATTTGTTCATGCTATGAGATCAGATTAGAGATTCTTCTTTCTTTCTCTTTGGAGGCATTTTACTTAATTTGGACTCCTGAAAAGAAAAGTAAACGACTTGGATTAGCGACTGTGTAAGAGAAACTCAGATTAAAAAATGATAATTAACATTGTCATTTCGACAATTGCAACAGTCACATCTGCTATGGAAACTGTCACATTAAACATAGCAAAACTAGTGACTGACACTGCACCAAATCTTGACTTTAGCCCTTCTTATACGGCAACTACTACAACTTCAGAGAATCATCCTCTGGTTTTGATGGAAACTGCAGCCACGACAGAGCCATTAGTATAATAATATATGATGATAACATGAGAAAAACTCACAGTAAAAATCAAACTATCTTGATGACACTTATCATAATCTATGAAAGACCATTGGGAACTTTTAAGTGATCCCTCCTTTTTTATATATATATATATATTCCAAAGGGACAAGTAAATCACCTTGACTTGCAACGAGTTTTAGCAAAAAATTGGATTGAAATTAATAAATATGATCCTGAAAGTAAAAATCTATGATACTTTATACAAGTTATTAACATCCTCGCCAAATAAAGATGGAATATTATATTTAATAACAAGACGTATATTATATTTATATACAGATCTGTTACATAAATCTCATGCACCAACAATCTATGTTCTTTTATATAGCGATTGATTTCAAATAAACCGAGTCAAAATACCAGCAAAAGAGATTTTGGACAAGCACAACTTCTCCATCGCCACTTCTAGTTGCAACTAAGAACTTGAATTTAGGGTTTGAATTCTTCCTCGAATCGGTTTTTTTTTGTTTCCCACTAACTTTGAGTTAACCATTCAAACTTTCCGTTTACGTTGTTGACTAGTCTGAGCTCAATTTAGTGTGATAAACTATAAGTTGGGAATTTAGTTTGTTCACACAAAAATTCAGGTTTTTGTTAGGCAAATTTGTAAAATCCAAGCTTTACAAGACTCAGTTCCAACACTAAAGAAGCCGCCGGAGTCGGTCAACGAATCTAGTGTATAAGAAAGCTTGGAGGAGAGAGGTTGGAAAGAAACTAGGGTTTTCTCCGTTTTGAAGATAAAACAAGGGTCACCGGACCAAGTGTAGGTAGCTCGGATGGTTATCGGATCCGTTGGTAATGATAACTAATAACGTTGAGTCTGATCCCTGGTTCGAACCTTGCTTGGGAGGGGCTGATGATTTACCTGGATGGATAAGTCTAAATTAGATTGTCTAATAAAATCAATAAAAAGATTTTATACAAATTCGGACGGTTAAAGCTTCTTGAACTTTAAGAGTCTAATTAGGTCGAACTTTAAACGATTTTCCATATCTATCTATATATACATTTTTGAATCACTTTTAACAAATAAATCCTGGACTTGGAACTTATTTACAATACAATGCCATTGGTATTTAATGTTTTAACAAAATTTTTCTCAAATCTAAATATTAATCGATTTTGTTACTAAAATTTAGGAAACTAAAAGAAAAAAATTACAAAAATCATTTAAATTTTTCCTAATTCTTCATTAAAAAAAAAAATTGTTTTAGTTTTATGTTTTTTTTTTTTAATTTTTTCATATGTTTGATTATGTTTCTTGCCAATCATGTTTGTTCAATACAATATCACTCTTCTTGAGAAGATCGAAATTGATTTTATTTTATTTTGAATCACTTTTTGGAGAGTATGATCTTCCTCTTATAGTAGTTCATATGTAGAAGCCATCCATCACAATTTTTTTTTAAAAAAAAACACTCCCTAAAGCTTTCTTTTCTGTTTTTTAATTCCGGTGTTCTAATTTTGTTTTTCTACTAGATTTTAACCCGCGGTACACCGCGGGGCTATATTTTCTTAAAAAAATCAAAATGTAATTTGTTTGATAGATTATTTTGATTGTTAATTTTAGGATTTCACCCGTGGTATACTATCTTTTATAAATATCAACCCAAACCCGTCCCATCATATTACCCGTCCCGTGAAATTAAACATCATTTAGTTATTTTTCATTTTAATAATACTTTTATTTAAAAGCTATATAATTCAAGTCAATTTAAAAATTTCTTTTAAATGGTTCCCATAAGATATATATACATATATATTAAATTTGTATAGAGTTGAAATAATATTAATATTACAAACTTTTTATATAATTTAAATATTATAAATATTTTTAAAAATATGCAATATATATTTTTTGTTATTGAATAAGAGGATATTATGTGTAAGAAATGTAGAAAATAAGAGTTTAATATTTTTATTATGGAGTCGCAAGAAAAATCTTTTATTTCTATACATGTTATTCGTTTATTAATAATAAAAGAAAACAAATCCTTTAAATTAGATATTAACTAAAATAAACGCACCATAATTACTTATTAAGTAACAACCAATAAGTTTCACCAAAAAATAGGTAACAACCAATAAATTCTAAACGCAGTAATTAAAGAATGAGATATTAAAAAAAAAATATCAAATAAGATATAAGAATCTTAAAATAATTGAATATCTAAATAATTTAATTGTTAGTGTCGATTTTAATGCCTTCATTAATGTGGATTTTTTTTTTTACAGAGAAATATTTCCTAAAGATTATCACATTAATGACTCAGAAAATTAAGGAAGATATGAATTTATGATTCTCGAAATCGTGTTGGTAATATCTTTAATTAATATTTTTCAAATTTAAATAATTAATGCCAATGGCATTCATCCGTAAATACATTCCAACTCCAGGATTTATTTTCTAAAAGTCATCCAAAAATGTATATATAGATATACTTTTTTCTAATTTGCAATTGTACAAAATAATTATCACTCCCTAAAACTTTCTTTTCTGATTTTTCTATTCCGGCGTTCTAATTTTGTTTTTCTATATACTTTTTTCCAATTTGCAATTGTACAAAATAATTATCTCTCCCTAAAAGTTTCTTTTCTGATTTTTATTAAATTTTGTTCTTTTTCTGGTAAGAATAAATTGTACATGTATTACGTTGATATTGCTAATTCAAATAATGTTAACAAAAATGCCCAAATATAGGCTATATTAAAAGAAAAAACAGTTAGTCAAAAACACAAGTATATCAATCCCAAGTTATGATTAAACTAAATATTTATTTATAATATTTTTTACCCAAAACAATAAATTTATATATACTAAAAAATTTGAAGTACCTTTTTTAAAGTACTTTTGTGTTAGTAAAGTAAGAATTTACAAAGAATGTCATCACATTAAAGTCAAAAAACAATTATTATTTTTGAAATATTATTATTGATATATTTTAAATTTATAAAACATTATTAATTAAAATATCATGAGACGAGTTATATAGCGGGACGGGTTTCGATTAATATAACATGGGTTATATCTATACTTTATTATTTTATCATCACTACTTTTTTTTTAGTTACAACATTAATATAAAATTATATCACTTTAATACTAAATTAAAAACCATAAAATTTAATATTTATTATATATATGAATAAAACATTTGCCCCGTGGTGTACCACGGGTTAAATCCTAGTATATAATATAATTAAATTAGGTCGAACTTTAAGAGACTTTTCTCTGCGATTTTTATTCATAAATCTTCCTCCGTCCGACCAGAGCTAATACAATCGATCATGATAAGAGGAGAAAACTCAGATTCTATCCCTATTGATCTCATTCTTGAGATACTCTCGAGATTGCCTGCAAAGTCAATCCAGAGGTTTGGCTGCGTGTCGAAACTATGGAAGTCCATGCTTAGCCAATCATATTTCACAGAGTTGTTCTTGAACAAGTCCTCATCTCGCCCACGTCTCTTATTTGTGGGCAAACAAGATAGCGACTGGCTTTTCTTCTCGTTACCTCAGCCTCAGAATCTAGATGAGAAGTCGTCCCTTGTAGTAGCCGATTGTCATATGAAGTTCTCTAAAGACATAAGCCCATACAATTGTACCTATGCTTCTGGTTTGATCTATTTTCATAATATGGATAATGATGCAGTACGTGTGATATGTAACCCTAGCACAGGACAGTATGCGATCTTACCTCTACCTGAAAGGAGAACGTACAGAAATTCTGTTAGCTATTTAGGGTTTGATCCGATAGACAACGAATTCAAGGTATTGTTCCTGAATACTAGTAAATCTATCGCTTCTAGTGATATAGATCATTATATTTTGACACTAGGAACTGGGAAATTGAGGTGGAGGAAGATTCAGTGTCCTTTTACCCATGAGCCTTTGTGGGAAAGGATATGCATCAATGGGGTTTTGTATTACTTAGCTCATTCTGAAAGAAAGTATTATGCGTTAGTTTGCTTTGATGTTAGATCTGAGAAATTCAAGCTCATTGAATTAGAATATCGTTTGGATTGCCGTCTTTATGAACTGATAAACTATAAGGGTAAATTATGTGGGGTTAATTTGAAGTATGCTTATGGTGGTGGATTTCCCCTTGAGTTACGTATGTGGGTTCTAGAGGATGTCGAGAAAGAGGAATGGACGTCATATGCCTACACTTTGAGGGATGAGAATAAAGTCTTTAAGGTTAACTACAATCTTTCCGTTGTTGGGGTGACTGCTTCAGGTGAAATTGTTTTGGTGAACCATAATACATCTAAACCGTTATATGTTTTCTACTTTAATCCCAAAAGGAACACTTTCCAAAATGTTGAAATCCAAAGTTTTGGAGCTAAGGGTGAAGCGTTTAAGACTAGTTTCCTAGTTGACGCCTTTGTAGACCATGTAGAGGATCTTAAGTTCGATATTAAGACGACAACATACGCTGCTTACCTGGAAGAAGATCATCGCACGCTTGAGATGTGTTAACAGATTTGATGGTCTGAGTTTACAGATGTCAAAACCCAATTACTTACCTTCCTCACCAAGTCAGCTAAACAAGCTCTTTGTTTTAGACAAGTTATGTTCTCTCTCTGTAAGAATCAAGTTATCAAAAAAGTTTTTAGGAAATTAAGTTTTTATCAAAGTCAGAGTCATGGCTGAAGTTGTTGTCTTCATAATATTTATAACATAGAGTCTTAACTATTTTTCCTCTGAGTGAACACTTCTCATTTACAGGTTTCATGTGAGCTTTTATCAGTCTGTTGGCTTAGCATTTTTTGTTACACGTTAATTGGGAGTAAACTAATTTTTTATATTTTGACTTTCATTTTCACGAAATTGCTAGATAATACCGGAAATGTAACAACTTATTCTTATTTACTCTGTTTCTAAACCATATCATTCCCCCTTAAGTTACCATATAACCAATTTCACAGTTTACATTGCTACTGCTTAATTGCTTAACCAATATCCTGAAGTCATATATACAAATCCCTATATACAACCACAGAAGGATTTAGAATGAAATATCAAATCACTTACCCTTAAATTTAACCACAATGATTCAGAATAATTGAGGTTATCCAAAACTAGACATATTAAAGTTTTGTTTCTAAATGTTCATCAATCATGTATCATTTAAGAAATTAGCACGAACAGTATAACCAACGCGCCCAAAGTATTACGGGTAAGAGACACCTTTCCATGGTTCTGAATTGCGGTGGCAATACCACCGGAATTAACTTCAGCAACGCTGATCTTTTCTACATAAAAAAACGTTCTTTTGTTGAGGAAGACAACTCTCTAGTGAAATACAAATAAAATGAAAATTTTAAATCCTTTTTAAGTTAAGAACCAATTATTTGGGAAATATTTTGTCATACAATTAGTTGAAAAAGTAAACACAACAAAAGTTTACGATTGTGGAAGCCCCTTCGGCCCATTGGTTGACCAAGGGTTAATTAATGCTTCTACACCAAGAAGTCTGGGGTTCGAGTCCCAGATATTGCGATTTATTTAAATTTGCAGATTAAATGAGGCAAGTGTGCATGAGATCTCCAGCGAAGTACAATTATAGCCGTTCGCCAGGATTCTACGCAGAGAGAGAAGTGTCGTCAGGTCGTGGATCATTGAAGGTGTCCGTCAAAAGCATGAAGAAGGAAGTGTCGTCTGTCGTGGATCTAATAAGGGTCGGAAGGAATTTTCCGTTGTAGAATCGTCTATGTAACAGTTCTCATAATTTGCAATAAATAATAAATCTAGACGTTAAAAAAAAAAAAACAAAAGTTTACGATTCTTGTTTTTGATTTAGTTATGGCCCAATTGTTTTCCTAAATCGAAATTGTTATATGATTTTCCTAATTCAGTTTGAACTCCTCTTTTCCTTCCTATAAAAATGCCAATCTCTCCACGCAAAATACAAAATCTCGATGAAGAGAGAAGTACCTACCACGATCGACTCAACTGATCTCATCCTCGAGATACTCTCGAGAACGTCAGCGAAATCGATTTCAAGGTTTCGTCGCTCCTCCAAATTCTGGGCGTCAATACTTCGCCATCAATATTTCACCGAGTTGTTCCTAACCAGATCATCCACTCGACCACGTCTCTTAGTCTCCCTTGAAAAATCCGGTGACTTAATCTTCTGCTCATCTCCTCAGTTTCAGAATCCTGAAGATTCATCTCTTGTATTAACCGCTGAGTTTAATATAAGTTTCCCTGCAGATTGGTGCTTACAAAATTGTTGTGCAGTCTCTGGATTGATCTATTGCCCTAATTCACCAAAATCAGTTGATAGATTACCTGTGATATGTAAACCTAGCACAGGACAACAAGTTAGTTTACCAAAAGCGAAAAAGACGAAGGAATTTGTGCATAACTTTTTCGGGTATGATCCGATTCTTAAACAATTGAAGGTAATGGTCATGAGCCGTGATAAAGACGTCGTAGCCAGTGGAGGTTGTGAAAAGGGATATTGCACCATTATCCTTTATCTGAGGGGATATGTATCAATGGTGTTTTGTATTATATAGGTCGCCGAGTAGTAGGTTCCGTTGTGGTGATAGCTTGCTTTGATTTTAGGTCTGAGAAGAAATTCAGTTTGATTCCGGAAGTTAATGGTGTTACACTTTGGTCAAGGCCTAGTGTTTTGGTTAATTTCAAAGGTAAACTAGGTGGAATCAGAGTGAGTGGCGTCCTAATGTTGATGGAAGGCTTAACCTTGAGTTGACTTTATGGGTTTTAGAGGATGTCAAGAAAGCGGAATTCTCGAAACGTGTCTACAATTTGCCGGAATTGTGGGAGAATCGAAATGTTAATGCCTCAGTTTCTGTTGCTGGAGTGACTTCTACGGGTGAAATTGTTTTGTCGATGGAGTATACATCTAACCCGTTTTATGTTTTCTACTATAATCTTGATAGCTACACTCTTCACAGAGTTGAAATACAAGGAATTGAAGCGTTTGGGAGTTATAGAGTTCGCGCCTTTGTAGACCATGTTGAAGATTTAAAATTTCTAACATCGAGCTAGAGTTTGGCTGCATATGTAAGATTTCACTGGAGATATAGGCTCCTAATGTATTAGATTCCTTATCTTTTTTACAGGTTCGTTCGTGAACTTATCATCCAATTGATTGTTTTTGATTTCCTTTGACCTTATTAATCTTTTCCTGGATATCATCTCCATGTCTCTTGTGTTGGAGAGCAAGGTAATGTTTCTTTCATGATATTCTGTTTTCATCTTCTATTTTCTAAGAAATAGTTTCATGAGTACTTTCTTGATATTGCACATGCAGGATTTTAGACATGGCCGAACCATTAGAAGGTACAATAGGGCAATCCAATATCACAACTCGGATCCAAGGTAACTTGGATTCTAGATTAAGAACAAAAAAAAACCTTTGCATACTACCACTTTGCATGTTTATCATCTGAGTTTCTCTCTTTTGTACCATGTCAAGATAACAATTAGGTAAACTTGAATTTAAAAACTTACTTGCACCACAAGATATTTTGTTGATAGATCTGGAACAAGCTCCAAATGTATCATTGCTAACTAAAGCATCCAACATTACACCTATCAGCTTTGCGACAATCTAGGTGTTTTATGTCTTGCCTATAGGTAGTAGTTGGATGACGGTGATCAGTAATGGATGTGGTAAGTTTCGGCATGAGCAAGTTGGTCGTTGGAAGGGTTAGATTGGTTAACTACTTCCTGAATGTAGTGGAAGGTTGATTAGTTTTGCTGGTGAGTGAGGTGATTTGGGATATAGCCGCACATACTTGGGTAGGGGCATAATTTTATATTGGTAGTATCACCGGTATGTGGCCCTGGACTAGTAAGAACATGTTGAGTGACTCTTTTTCGTTGAATTGGACATATAGAGACGCAGAGACGTGTAGTAGATTCACCGAAGTGTCGGTTTGAGGCCCAAATACATAATTTGTGTGAGTGAGTAGATGAAGAAGACTCTGCATCGTGGTTGTGTCACCATTTAGATTTAAATCTACATTATGTATGATGCTGAAGAAAGAAATGATGGAAACGTATAATGTGGTTTCTTTATCTAAATTTAAATTCGTTTTAACAATTCCCTTTTTAATAGAAGTTTTCATATTCTAAAAAGAAAATCGGAAACTAAATAACGATATGCTAGCTTGATTTATTTACAATGTAAATATACAAATTAAATTTTACACTTTTTCGTAGATGTAATATTTAGAGAGAAAAAAAAACGAACTTTTCATCTTATTCGCATATATTAAAGTCCTAGATGATGTCTAAATAGAAAAAGAAGTGCTAAATAAAAGAAAAAAAGAAAGTATGATAATCGGACAGTGAATAACATGAGAAGTCCAAATCAAACGCCATTAACTCGTTGTGCGCGATATTCTCAGCTTCGGCGTGAGCGATCGCACTCGATAACCCGACACCGCGTAGCTGCCCCCTTTCTGCCATTATCTTTTTCGTGGATTTACAATAGGTAACGTACAATATTAATTGAGCCAATCCAAACACACACCCAATTCCATTTGGTATAACCATGAATGGATCTTAAGGCACAAGACCATAAATTGTCCAAACACCTGCATTTAGAAAACCAGCAACTGATAACAAAAGCGGCATGAACTCCAAACTTTTTGTTTTTATTACCATTTTCATGACAGACAATGGAGAAGCATACATCATCGAGTTGAAAATGCAACATACAATCCCAACGCTCACTGTTCGTCGCTCGGTACTTTGTTCAAGAGTTAAGACCAAAACAGCGAGGATAGCCACAAACACGACTTCAACCGCTAAAACAGCTGATATTACCAAACGTTTTTGGCGGCTACAAAACAAGAAAAATATGATAAGGAAAACGATTTCGATCACGATCCCTCTACCACTTATTGTAACGACCAATGTGCTGTCAGGGTGCACCATAGGAAGTCCGTATAGAGCTCGAACGAAACACTTTATGAGAGTGGCCAAATATGGCATTGGTGAGTATTTCTCCACTGACTTCTTTTTCACTATGCGTACAAACTATTTTTGTATATTCATCTTGTTTCCCTTAACTGGGCATCATTTGAAAATTACAATCTTCCCACGGCTGAATAAAACCGTAAAATACAAAGCATGCGTTCAAACTAAAATATGCTTTCAAACTATAGCTCTTACAAAGATATTTTTCTGTCCCGATGATGAAAGCATTTAGAAACTAATACCTCTGCATAATCAAACATAGAGACTCATCAACACCAATATATCTACCATATAAAGAAGCAAATTTCTATGTTCCTTACATTTTCGGCTTCTTCAATTCATTTCCTTGCTGCACTCTAGCAGCCTTAGAGATAGCTGAGTTAGGCTGCTTAGCAGCCTTACGGCTGCATAATCAAACAAAGAGACTCATCAACACCAATGTCTACAAATCAAATTTATATAGTCTTTGCATAGACTTACGTTTTAGGCTTCTTGGATTTATTTCCTCCCTGAAATCCTACAGACTCACAGAAAACACAAGGCTTCTTACAACCAGTAAACCTGCATAATCAACCACAGAGACTCATCAACACCAATTCTACAATATTTATATTTAAGAAAAAGAAAAAAGAAGTTGAAGAATATATTAATTTTGAATTTTTGATAGCCTTACGGTTTTGGAATCTTCCATTTACGTGGTCGAGGTGGTTTATAACAGTGAAACAGAGCCCACGAATAACTCCAGCATAATCAAACACAGACAGAGACTCATCAACAACAATGTCTACTACAATATATGTTGAGAATTAGTAAAGAAGAACACAACATATGAAGAAGCTTGAGGAAGAAGTAATGCCAGCAATGCAATGAGACACGTCAGACGCAGGACCACAAGACTCAAGTAGCCGTTTGCGCTTGGTCACTAAAGCAAACGTTTGAATGGCTAAAGCAACTCTTGTCTGGTTGTGGTAAAGTTACTCGCAGGATAAGCTCTACCCATTTGGAGCTAGAAGACAAATGTGAGAGGCAACTTCCTGGAAGCTGCAAAGGAGCGTCTTGAGGACTCAACGGGAAGGATCCAGAAGGAACCTAGTGATATGTTGTGTTTTTATCGGTTTTGAGTCTTTGTTTTTTTTCCTAGATCATATATTTTATAGAGTCAAAGTTTGTTTTTTAGAGTCTTTTAGTCCTTTATCGATTCTTTACAGGTTTTAGGTTGCTTTGGAGGAAAACGAGATGTTTTGGGATAAAAACACACATTTGGAGATGCAGTGTCGGTTAGAAGTATCAAACGTTTGGCCTCCGATGGAAGACTTACCACCGTTAGATCTTTCTGAAATTTTGACAAAAGCTATATGCAGATGTTAGCTTGAGGTTCCATGTGATTTGAAGGAAATCTAACGGTGCATTCAATAGTTATACCCGAATTAGTGAAGACAGGTCATTCTGGCGAGCATTTGAAGCAGTTGCAGAGCTGAAGACCAGAAGCTCCAGATCGATCGATCCCTTGGTGGATCGATCGATCCACTTCCCCGGCAACGGCGCCAACTTGATTGCTCGAGTAATCAAGTTGGCGCCGTTGCCGGGGACCAATTGCGTTACCTAAGGATTTAGGATTAGTTTTTAGTCTAAAGCATTTTTTTTTTTTATTACTAACTATCACACTCGTTTTTCTTTTAGGTGTTGGCTATGGAATATAATGATTGGCTACAAGAAGAAGAGGATGAGCCATATGTGGAGCCACCATTTGATGAGAGTGTTCTTACACCGGAACAAAAAGTGAAGTTGGATGAACTTCACAACGAACATCCGACATTGGTAAGGAGTGATTTAGCGATTTTGATCCGGTTGAACCTCTTATCACACCGAGCATCCTGTGAAGGAAGAGAAATCACATTCTATGAAGAACAAGAAGCCCATGCTCTTGAAAAGGTAATATATTGGGTTCCACCAAGCGAACTAGAAGGTACATGCAATTCAACCCTTGAAATTTATGATGTTGAGGATATTCAGATACCATGCATTGAAGATGTGACTTCTAGTTTGCATACTCCCATGATCATTGATGAATGTTATGATTTGATATGTGAGTCGCAACAACTAGATGCTTTAAGAGCAGCAAAACTTGCTAGGGATTACCATGATATATGTTTTAATATTGAATATCATTGTGCTTTGAATGTTCATGATCTCGAGTTTAAGTTTTCAATGCCTGAAATATCTAGATCTCTTCTTGATGAATCTTTCCTAGGAGTTGTGCTTGATATTGATAAGATTTTGCATGTGAATGAAGATCTTGAGGTTGATTATATGGATGTAGATATTGTGCTATATGAGATTAATGGGGATGAAGTTGATTATTTTGTTCAAACCTCATGTAACCAGGAAATTGACTTCATTTTTCCTCCAAATGCATTTGATCCTCATGAGCATTCAACCATCAAGGAATATTTCAAAGTATATGCTACATTTGTAGTAATTTTTCTTGATATGAATTTTATCTCTTTACCATGGATAATTGTGTGTTACTTGGCACATCTCATTTCTTTCACTAACAGGAGAAGGACAAAAGGTCCACTGGCACAACCTTTTGATTCTTATGATTAATATTTTGTGTTGAGCGGTCAAGCTGACGACCTAAAACAAGCGCTTGGTGGGAGGCAACCCATAATGTATCCCAAGTAAGTTTTCTCTTTTTCTTTTTCGCATTTTCATTTTTTTTTCTTTTGAGTGTGTATGGCATCATTTCTTCGAATTATTTTCACACCGAGTCGGTGTGAAGCAAGTCGGGGGGAGGTTGTCATTTGTCTACTAATCGAGTTTGCTTTGGTTGTTTCTTTTGATGTTTTCGTTTGAGTCAGTCAGTTCGTTTTTATCGAGTCAAAAATTGTGTCTTTTATTGAGTCAAAATCTGTTTGAGAATATGATCTTTTCTTGGGGAATTGCACCTAGCTTGATTTCATTGCCTTGAGACCATTTTAGCATTATTCGATAACTTGGAAGTTCAGGAAAATCCATGACTAGATCACTCTATAGTAGTCCCTATCTCTTTGAAATTC